AATCTCGGAGTTTTAAGGTCTAAAATATGGTTTATACGCACCTTCATTCAATATTAAAACTCAAAAATCTTAAAAATTAAATTAATCCCTCCATCCATTCATGTCTTCAATTATGTATTCAATCGGCAAATAATGAATCGAACGATGTCACTATCCGGATACAGATAGACACTTAAAAATCAAAAATACCCTACACACGCACACTGGCGTAAAATTTAGTTATTAGGATCTAAATGTGATAAAAGGAACGATTTAGTTATTATAAAATTACACTTCAAATATTATATTAATTTAATACACAGTAGGTTATAAAATGGAAACTCCGGTTAAAATCTTGTTTGAGGGCATTATGTGTTAATTTGGGTTAAATGCGATGAAGCCTTATCCCGCGTATTTACGCGTACACAGGTCGTAGACAATATTTAGATTTTTTCTTTTTTTTTGTCATTAGCTTATTTTCCGACTTTTAGAATACTTTATGGTTTTCGTGACGCGAGATTGAATCTTAAAAGCACTTTTAATTGAGTGTACGCAGTCACGGTATATACCGATTATGACAGCAACCATGTGCACTAACGTATAAGTGTGTGACCTGTATACTGTACGGGCGATTTTCTTGTCACGAAAGTTGAATTCACAAACGCGAATTTCGATTTTCCTCTATCCTGTTCTCACCACCACCGGAAGCCTTAAATGACGCAACCGCGGAAAATTATCGTCCCTAAATCGAACGAACAGTTAAAGCTTCCGATTAGTGTGCTTATAGTGCGAGTTTTTTAACGTTCTCGATAGCGTTAAAGTCAGCTTATATTTGTATGGAATGGGATCGTTTGCCTACGTTTGTTGTTAGGGGCGCTGTTCCAACTGCATACAAAATTGGGTTAACTTTTACGCTAACGAGAACGTTAAAAAACTCGCACTAAGCACATAGATGTCGGCGGATAGCAAATGCTCCAATCTTTGATAAGAAAAAGCAAAGAGCTTAGACTGGTACACACTGAAAAACTTATTAAGTAACATACGATGGTTTCCAAGGCATTTTTTCGCGACAGAAATATCGCCCAAATAGCCCTTATCGTATCTGAATCCCCAAAAGAGTCTGCGTTACAATCGGCAATCAAACTTTTATTAACGTCTGACTATTTCGTATTTTAACATAATCGACCGAAAAAAATTACGTGAAGAAATTTATGAGATTTTTCTACTATTATACTTTTAGTCTTTCAAATTTGCAACATTGGTTAGCAGTGACAAAACAAAATAAACACAGTACTACAAAATCTATAGGTATTAAATAAAAATGGCGCTTAACGAATGGGACGAAGGCGAATTTTTTCTTTAACCGGGCGGTTCAAAGTTCACAGAAGTCTCGAGAAACTCGGAAAGCTCTAAGTGGAAACATTAAGGAATCTTCAGCAATACACTGGGTGTGAGGCAACTGCTTCCAAAATAGAAACTTTAATAACATACACAATACTTAAACATAAATAAAATTGAATGGCTAAAATAACAAGAAGTCGTCCCTGTCTAACAGAAAAGACAATGTGTACTCGTATGTAGTGATGCGACTATGTTGATTTGTAAATCCCGGAGTCCCGGAATTGGCAGGTGCATTTCTAGGTTGAAGAAGTAACATCGTGTAGTAGTCGAAGTAACATAACATCAAGGACGCAAAAAAAAAAACTGCAAGAAACCTTTGAAGTGAGCTTTGTGCCAATTTAAACCAATATCTACATAAGCGGACAGTGATCACGTCATTTACGTTGTGCTCTGCTAACTATAAACCTCTAAGCACTTTTCGGTTCCCCAACATCAAGCATGGGATACCTGATGATTGGGGACTTGTTAGCATAGACTCAACGAGTTAAAATGCGACGATTCATATCTATTCCTGTTCAGACAATCTCTTTATGAATTTATTTTCGAAAAATAAAATCACCTGAAAATTTAGATAATTATTTCGTACTGCATCTCTCTTTTGTTTTTTATTGAAATGTTTCAGAGAAAACAGAAAGTTCTTTTACGAAAAAAAATTATGGGCAACATCAAATCTACCACTTCGATTGATGCTAGAAAAAAAAGATGTCAGCAAAACGAAGAGAAAAGGGAGAAAATTCTCGAAAGGGTGAGAAAAAGATTGTAGACTACGTATTTAGCTAAGTTCAAGTTAGCATGAACATATTTGTAAAAAACAAGAGTGTTTTTAAAATATTTTTGTTTGTAACATTATTCAAGCAGTGCTGGTCCTATTTTAATAGAATTGTTTTAAAACTTTACCAATTAGACCTTTAAAAATACGTAGTTAACATCTTTATTTTATCACATTGAAATAACGAGGAGGATTGAGAATTAGCAATCAAACCAAGTTTTTAACAACAACTACGAAAAATGGCGAACACCCATTTCAGTTATATTCACTGTTAATATATTTACTGTCATTCAAAGAACCGAACACGCTTAGCAAATAAATTAGAACGAAAAATGTTGTGGCTAAAACATTGATGCGAACTTCAGCTTCTTTTTTTTTTTTTTTTCTACCTATGCTGATAGCCTTGAGAGGCTATTTCAGCTTCACCCTAACGTTTGTAGGTGAGCTCGCGGGACTCAACCGGAGAGTTGCTAACACTGACCCTAGCAAGAGCAGTGCTTCGCAGAATCTACCACCGGATCGGAAACGCGACCCACTGAGAAGATCCGGCGAGAAACTCAGTGGGCTGTGTCTATGGGTTAGTTCGCTCGTCGAGCCCTTCGTCGCGACGGGTTCGACGAGGACGGTGACCGGATCGACGAGGACGGTGACCGAGGGCTTCTTTGAGGACATCGCTAAGTTAATGACTACTTTTAGTATTATATTAGTATTGACGATTGTAATACAGACCCAGATTAAAAATTTATTAATTTAGACACTGTAGTTACACAGTTTGTTTAGTTATAAATCCCCTTACATTTAAAAAAAACGATTCACGCTTTTCACAGTCGGGCAAAGTGACATTGTTCTAAATATTTCAGCAAAAAAAGAAGAAATCTTCTAGAAATCATCGTCATACGTAATTCCATTAAAAATGTATATCGAGGGTGAAACGCTATTTGGTTTAAGCGACATTTCCCTTAATACACAATATCTTTCTTTGTAATCCATTAAAGGTCCGTTTTATTTCGTATTAACAATTCGATGTCATTATTTGAACTTCAGTTGAATACGCAATTTCGAAAAGGGCACATGTCGCATGTTTTGTCAACTACGTTCTTTCATATACATGTAGTTTTGAGGCTTACCTACACCCATTTTATAATAATTCCAGTAATTTTCAATTGCTAATTAACACTAAAATATATCTCAAAAGTTAATATTTTAAATTTTACACTGCTTTAGAAGATAATCAGCTTTTTTCATTTCCTGAACATTTTACATTTTCAGAGATGTGCCCTTTTCGAAATTGCATATTCAATTATGTTTACCCCATTGAAATAGCTGAAGAAGTTTTTTTTTTTGATATGATATTTTTTCCAAATTTTAAACCCTTTAAGCTCTTATGTAAAGCTGCAAAATTTTCGCTTAAACAAAATATTCTTTTACCCTTCGATATGATTTTGTGAAAAGGTGATGAATAAGATACGGCATTCAATCGGTCACGGACACTCCAGTGTATAGAGTTGGGAACTTTAATTAGGAAACTAGGAATTATAATAAAATTGTTAATATGACGAGTTTTTTTTTTCCAAACATATTTTTAGTACATAAATTAAATTTAAAAAATACCAATTCAATACTTATTTTCTTTTTCTTTTAAATCGCAACCACAAATCAAATCACATTCAAATTTCTTATTATTTAGGAACATACAAAAATATTATCATTTATTTGGTACTCTGTTCGTTTTATGGTAAATACAAATTATTTAATACGTAAAAGAATTATATACGTTACATTAACCTTGATGACTGCTCCCTACGAAAGTATTGGAAGTGAGTGTTTTTTTTTTACGACTTTAGAAAACGTTTGTAAAAATCCCGCAACCCCATTAAATATTTCAGTGTTGCAACTGTTTAATGTTGACGTTGCCATAAATTAGGAGAATCAAAGTAGACGCGACGCGACAGACTAACTGAATATAATAAGATTATATACAAAATTCGACGCATACATTTTCGTAGTTTTAACAGTTTTTATCGAAAATTTTACTATCCCCTTCTTAATATTAACTAAACTTATCGAACGATATTTTAGACGCGAGAATATATGAGGCCGTCAGCGTAAAAGTGGCATAAGCTTACCATAGTTAGTATGGAGGTTTAATTTTCATGAATTTGAATTTGAGTAGGCAAAAAAAACAATACGCGCAAAAATAGTGTTTACAAAGCTATTTGTTGTCTATGGGTGAAACTATGGATAGGCCGGATATGCATCAAAATTTATTATATTTTAAATAAATTCCAATATACGTCATATAAGCTTGAATATAAAAAACATTGTGGGTTAGGCCACTTTTGCGCTGATCGCCTTATATATGTCGTATGTCATCATTTCGACTCATAAATAGAACACACACAAGAATTTCCGAAATCTGCTTCACGAATTTCCTTACCACAGATACTACCAACACATCATGAAAAGCATCATTGATTTATTATTATAGCGTATTTTTAAAACAGCTACACAACGAGTCAGGTGGCACAAACGGGGAAGACCATACCCTGCAGACGAAAACTGATGAAACAGTTGCATACACACCCAAAGATAATTCTAAACCATTCGTGCATACATTACTAAAGTACATAAATAAAACACGCGTTCATTTTCTCGTCTCGTATGGATCCATTCATTATTAGGTGACTCGCGATGCTCAACTATACATAATATATAGTATTCAACAATTCCTCTAGTTTACATTATACTAATGTTCGTTAACAACGTTTTTGTAAACATTCGTGAAGTTTTTGGATTTTCGCTGATCCGAAACTAGTTTCCGATATATATATATATATATTTTTATCGATAATTTAGAATTGACGCTTTAAAGAACAAATATGAGGCATTAGGCAACTTCATTCATTCATTCATTTTAGTACAAGTTCCAAGTTTTGAAATGAATTATTATACAGCTTCAATTAATTCATTCAATTGAAGAGAATCCAAAAACTTCACTTAATAAAAAGAATAGCTATATTTGGCTGATGTCTATACTATTTATTGCTTATCTATGGAACTTGGTCGATTGAAAATATGTACTTAATACTATTACATATTTTATTGGTGTTTCTGAGTTATACAAGTGATTTTTAACAATCATACATATGTATATGAAAAACATGTAAAGAATTCAAAATGCAACATTTATTTTATCGTATTTATCGAGCATTCATTAGAATATATTTCTGAAAGTATCATTTGCAATTTATCGATATGAGTATCTAATGTATGTATATATTATCGATATTTCAATTTATTGGACATGATGATCGCTTGCACTATTTTGAGCAGAAAAACATGTGTTTTACTCATAGGTCATTTTAATAGGTAACATTTGACAATTCATCAAAACTCAACAACGTAGCCTTGTAACGGCGGGCAAAATATTTTTTTTTTATGTTAGAACTGCACACTTTTTTCAATTACTATTACATATCTAATTGTAATAATGACCGATACGAGTAATTTTACTAATAAACCATTCTAAACATAATAAACAATTTCTGATCTAAAAAACTGAACGTTGTTACGATGCTGCGTTAGTTAACAATTTTTCTTTTTTAACGCTAGGGATGTTGCTCTAAAAATCGAAAGCTGATAAGTAGAATCGAATGCAATGATTACTTGTGAAGAAATATCACCACAAATCAATAACCAAATTCGTAGAGAAAACAAAGAAAATAATTTTACAGGATTGTGAACGAGTTGTGAGAATAGACAATATTATTGAAAATAAATTAATAATATCTCTGAGTGCTGTGATGAAGATGACAATATTAATAACAGTTCTGATAATTGAACTGAATAAATGCAATATTTTTGTTAAATTATGTACTTTTCTTATTTTTCTCTTGAAATTTACGAAAGAAAAAATAATAATGGGACAGGAATTCACCTGAAGATTTTTAAAATTCACATATGTTTCAAGTCTGTATCGATTCATTCACTTTAATCAATGTTTTTAAGTAGGTCACCTCACTAAGAAGATAAAACTGACAGACGTCAAATGTTACTAAAATGACTCAATAATAGTTATGATTTCTCTTAACACATGTTTGATTGTAGATTAGTTAGCGATGTCATTTGAATTCTATCGATAAAAGTATATTACCCGTTCAAAAATGATTAGAATTAAAGCAATCATCATGTTCAATAATTTCTAATCGATACAACAATAGGGCAGAAAGTTTAAAATATTTAAAAAAATCGGTGCAACTATTCATCACAGTATAACATATAATATAGTACTGATGTATTTTTATTTATTTAATATACACATATTAAGCGTGTTATTATTGCTTTTTCGAATGAAGTATTATATTTAAAAAATAAATATGTATATAGTATTTATATATATATATATGTTTGTTCAAACTACATTACCTACTTTTTAACACCCAAACATCATTTTAATGAACGAACGTCTAACAAAACGAATAGAGTAAGCATACGCACTTTTACTTTCAACTAAAATAAGTATGTACCGATATTAGTTATTTTCCTTATGCAACGCGTCAAGCACATATACATATAACTCATAGCTCATTTTTGTTTTGCTTCAAAAATTCTAATGGAAAAACGATTATACAGAAAATACAACAAAAATGGCCAATACAGCTGACGATTTTTTTTTTCTGTGATGTTAGACGTTAGTTCGCACACACACCAAACCGTCGCGTTACACAATCTCTACTTACGTACAAATTACATAAAAAAATTAAAGCACGAAGAAAAATATTTTTCGACAATTTCAACTCAACGTAGTCCTATTTTATACGAATTTGTTCCTAAATGTTAAGAGTACATGAGTCATTTAATAAGATAACTTAAAAGAAAATTATTATGTTATGACGGTGCGCTCGACGGCATCGAAGATGGTACTTGTATCTGGAAAGGAAACCTCCTATAGAATGTTGACTGACATCAGACTACAAAAAACAATTTTTTTTCATCCTGCCATATCCTGTTTCACTATATCCGTGTTTTAGCTGGAATACACTCAATATGCAATTTTATTTAATTAATTTTAATATTTATAATTTAGAAAATCCAATCAAATTTATCATACAAGAAAATACATTAAATAAGACGCGTTCCTCTTAGAATTTTTGGCAATAGAAAATAAATATGTTATGATTTATTAATTTTTTCGTTTTATTGTATTATCTTTTACCGATAGATCATTGACATTGTAATGCGCTACATAATGTAATTAAATTTTATCAGACGAGATAAGCAAATTAATTAAAAAAAAGCTCTTCCTAATGCATTATCTATCTCGAAAACAGAATACTATATTTTAAAATCTGAAATATATTCTTTGCACTCATGTCACAGGATTGAGTCTGGATGCAAATCCCCGTGTTACCATTTTATGGCCATGTGTAAAATAAATAGTGCTCAAGAAAGTCAATATGTGGTGCAACGACCTAGGCACAGGTGTGCTCAAGCCATTTGATCCCAGCCTTAGTTTTATTTGTTTGCGTAAAATCTACTCAGTTTTTTTTTTGTGACAAAATACCGTCAGATTTGATTCATTAATAACTATTAAACTATTAACGAGTAAGTGATGGTTGAAATCATAACGAATAGATCATGATGATACGTTTATATATTACGGGTTTTGTTTTATTTGTGACGTCATAATTTTAACACGCATGACCTCATGATTGTTTCGAATTAAGTGTGTGCAAAATTATTGATTTAGTTTATAGAAACTTGCGCAATAGTAAAATGACCCCAATTGAGACTGTAAACACTAAGTCGCATTTGTTTATTATTAATATGAGTAACTTACTTTGTCCTTCGTTTCTGCTTGGGGCGTGAAAACACAGTCGGTGATTGAATCTAACGCTCTCTCGTCTAATACTCTCTCGTCGAGTACAGCTTCCAACGCCGCTGCTAGCTCCGAACTTTCCGCGAACGAGGACGACCCTTCCGCTAAAAAAATAGGAAATTATTTTTTTAACTTTAAATAAATGATAGCGCGCTAAACAGTTTCCAGGACTATCTCATAAATTCCGTAATTACGCCTTCTATGAAATTCTTCATTCTCTTCTATTCTCTTCTATTCATTCATACCCTTTCATTCTCTTCTGTTATAAACACGGGCATACAGTTTGAAGTTTAACTGCTTTTATTCTATGACTCGTGAAATTTCCACGTCTTCTTCTCTGACGGACTACGTTAATATATCTACAGCAGTCGAACTTTGAGTTGTGTCTCCGACTATTATCAACAACTATTATCATAATTTTAGAAGAGACAAAGAGAATACAATAGTAAAAGAAGCAGTGTCTTTTTTTCATTTTATATAATTGACATTTTATACGTGAAAGTAGTGATTGACAAATTAAAGAGGGGACGGTAAGCGGGTAAGGACATGTGATGCGTAGAGAGAAGATGCATGTGACTAGGAGATGTATGGAAATGGTAGTGCAAGGTAGAGAGGGATGAGGTCGACCGAAGAAGACATGGATGGAGTGTGTGAATGACGATATGAGAGAGAAAGGAGTGAGTGTTGAGATGACGGCTGATAGAAGAGATTGAAATAGAAAAACTCGCTGTGCCGACCCCACCTAGTGGGATAAGGTGGAGTCAAAGAAGAAGAAGATATAATTGACATTTTCATGTATGTAAATAAATACCTTGATTAAAGAACTCCGTGAATGCTTCGTCAGGGATCTGACTCAGCACCGCTGGATCTAACAACACGTCAGACGGTACCGTGCCGACTTCGACTTCTGTAATGTAATGAATTATATAAAACATAGTATTTACTGATTTTAATGAAAAAAAAATTGAGTTGAAACTTACATACGAGTTGATTAAAACTTAAAGTTGCCGGTATTATTGAATTGGCATAGAAGATTAATTACATGTTGTAAATTTAGATGATGCATTTTAAATAATTATTGTAAGCCCATATGTAAATAAAACGTAAAATAATCTTATTCGACTCGATCAGTACCAAAATGTGTTTCGAAGGGATGCAATTTAATTTTGACGAATGTTTAAATAATAATCATAATTGAATATCCTGATGCGAGGAATTTATTCCCAAATCGTATGGTATGCTTAGCGGTCATTATAACTTTAATTTTATAACAAATTATTAAAATTAAATGAATTCAATTCTTTTTTGTACAGATGTTTCTTGATTATTATATTAACTTATGTACGAATAACTAAGTTTGGGTGTTACGCTGTGGGAAACAATAGTATCGTGAACAGATAAATATTATTTAAACGTTACTAAAAGTGGGATTGAGTGTCTTTCACATTTACCTAGTTCATTTGAATTGTTCGCTGTAGCGATGTACTCATTCTCGCTCAGCGCGCCCATAGTGGTGTCTTCGGAGCTATCGTAATTTGATGAGTTAGAATAAACGTTGATTTCTGAAATAAGTTTAATTAGGATTATTATTAAAGGCCATTCCATTAGGGACTAACGCTGAAAATGGAGTGTCAAACTCATTATCAGTTACTGATAGGTTACTGTCCATCTCTGCCGCAATAACATGAGGCGTTTTGATATGAAGTACCTATAGGATTGGCGTTACTCCAGTATAACCGAGATTACGATGCCTTAAATTACAAGCTAGAGAATTTTGTATTAGTATCTATTGGTTTCAACTTGGCTTTATGGGCATGATCTCTTTGCCTATTGAGAGGAACTAACAAATAGAAAAAGAAAATATCTATGCGCTCGTCAGGATACTTACGCTATGAAAATAAATAGTAATAAACTTATTGGCGGAAACGCGAGGAGCGAAGTTGTGAGAGTTGTTTTATTTTGTAAACTTAATATTTCTTTAGCTTTAAACGTCACGGCGGTTTAATTATTTGTTTAGCATCGGTGAAAGTGCACAAACTTTGAATATGAAACCAAGCCGCTGAACGTGCCTTCGCGGGATCTTCCAAAAAGTCCACTAACTTGCCAGTAACCACTATTTTTCTAAGTCATTATTTCATCCCATCTCATCTCGTTTCATTCAATTTCATCCCAATTAATTACAGTCTCAAATAAAACAACATCATCGCAATATCAATTTCGCTATATATCATTTTTCATATAACGAAATAAAAAAAAAAAAAAAAAAACTTTTTATAAATTTGAACTGGCAACAATGACAAGAAGCTAGTTGCCATACTTAAAAAAGAAGAAAAAGGTAGTAGGTTTAATGAAAACGCGAATTTTATTTATACCTGAGAGAGAATGTTCGGCTGAGGGCGGTGGTGCGGGGGGTTTGTTCTTGAGGGGCACGCGACGACGGCGCTTCACTCGTCTCGGAGCCCGTGACGTCATCGGCAGCACTCGACCGCGCACAACCTTCTTCGGTCTTGTATCGCGACATAACTTATCGTAGTTATCCTGCGAGTGACAGAAATGAGAATCAAAATCTATATATATATATTACTCACTAGCTGACCCGGCAGACTTCGTAGTGCCTCAATCGATAAATAAAAGATCTAAGCTTTTGTATAAAATAAACTTAAAACAAACAAAAGGAATCTATCCGACAGGGGACACATCAAAGTTAAAACAATTTTTTTTTTATTTAATTTCGAGCATTTTCACATTTATCTACCTTTTAAACCTTTTCAGGACTACCACAAATAATTTAAGACCAAAATTAGCCAAATCGGTCCAGCCGTTCTCGAGTTTTAGCGAGACTAACGAACAGTAATTCATTTATATATATATAGATACGTGAACCAAAAATTTGTACCCATTTTTACGAAAATTGCGCAGACGGAGCAGTATGAAATTTACCACACTTATAGACAATATAGAGAAGGAGTGCAGAGTGTTAATAGCTTTTTCTTAAATACGCATAAAAAATACAATAAATCAATAAAATACAACATTACACACACTACCATGTCTTTGACACACACGCATATATGTATATTCTTTTGTTTATTGTTGAGTGTGTGGTCAAATTGAGAATGGTCTTAAGGTTGATCACAGGCTCAAGTAGCCGGTGAGTACTAAGATGGACCGTAATATGATTTACCCACTAATTGCAAAAAAGCTGAATATAAAAAAAAAAAAAACGTGTGGGTCTTTGGACGCCCGACAGAAGTGATAACTTAAACGAATCTAACTAAGTTGGACTATTTCATATTGAAATTGTTTAATTTGAGAAAAGATTAGGTTATTACTTGTATTTTATGTATATTAGTTTGATAATGCAAGGGAATGTTATTTATTAATAAAATCTGTTATTGATTATCAAAATTTATTTTATTCTTAATTACAATTCTTGAATATGTACATTATCGGTACCTAGATTTAAATATATTTATAAATATACAAATAGTCAACAGTTACATATGCACATACTCAGTACCGCTGCCGTATGCGTGAGAGAAAGGGAAGGCAGACAGACTGGCGCCGTAACGCGTTACGTGACGAAACGGTTTACCCTCCCATAAGAAGTTATCACTTCAAACATAAAGTGCAAATAGATATGCCGCAGAAGAGAAACTTTGAAAGTTACCTATCTCATTTTCTTGCACCCTAAATCCTGTATTGGGTACGTATGTGTCTTTATACCTTAAAAAGTTTAAACCTCATTACATCATTTGATTTCGAGAATAACAGTTTACGCTTACCCGTTTCCAGGCGTGTTCGGCGCAGAGTGGCGTGTGTTCGTGCAGCGGAAGCAGCGGATGCCTGCAGCGGGCCCCTCCGGCGAACACCGCAGCGCAAGCCGCGTACAAGCGCTGTTCCGCTGCCAAAGTAACGTGCGCTAGACAATAACGTCCGCACGGCAAGGGTTCCGCCTCGCATTTTTCTTCGAGGCACTTAGCTTTCGTGGCATCCCATGAACCACTCTCGCCACCAGACCAACCGCTTTCTCTGTAATTTATTCTTTATTTAATTCAAAAAAATGCCGTCAGTATGACAGTTATGGGTCAATTATAATTACAATGTCAACGACCTTGTAAATCTTTTCTTTTTTTTATTGCTTAGGTGGGTGGACGAGCTCACACTCTACCTGGTGTTAAGTGCTTACTGGAGTCCATAGACATCTACAACGCAAATGCATCATTCACCTTGAGATATGAGCTCTAAAGTCTCAGTATAGGTTATGAAAACGCATTAGAAAATTATTATTTTTTCGAAAAATTCATTCGTCCGATTTTTCGCAAATGGTGAATCGCCAGCACCATGATCACCAACCAACTGATGTAACGAGTAAATACGAATAATCCTTACATTCGTCATAAAAAAGACACTGTGTGCGATGATTCATAACGAGTGCCGAATGAAGAAACACAAATAAGCCATTACTCGTGTCCGTACGTATTCGCCCGCACTCGTCGAGTATCTAAATGACACGTAACGAACTCAGATTTACGTAAATGAAACAAAGATTTCTCCTTCGAGTGCAATAACTATAAAAATACTAACGTAAGAACAAAACTGTCTATTAATAATTATTATATAGGTATTACTGGTGGTAATGGTTAATTTACATTCGAAATAAACCTTTTCAAAATGTATTTTGTTGACGATTTCTTATCATTTTTCGCAGTTCCATTTAACCTTTGCCCGTTGTTTCATTGCGTGTTTAGTATATGTGAAAGAGCACTTGTACTGATTGAATATTTTGTTTATATTAAAGTAGTGAAGCTTGGTTACGTTCCGATGTGACCATAGAAAATTGTTCGAAAAAATATTTATTTCTTGAAATTACTCGCGCGCTACATATTAGAGACAGTTAAGGACGCGCTAAAGACACTATAAGAGCAAACCTTCCCCGGAATGATAACAACAAGCATACCAAGGTTCGTCATTATCGGATAAATTGTTTTTTTATTGCATAAATGCCTGCTTCGAGTTGGGACGGTTTCCGGCGAAGTGGAGGACGGGCAGACTCATCCTACTGAGGAATGGGGCGCCCTGCAGGCTTACGCTCCATTGTTTTGCTGGACGAGGGGGAAAAGTTATTGAAGCGAGTCGTCCCTGCCTGCATCTGTGCGGGTCTCGATCTGTCCAGGGGCAGTACGGCTTCAGAGAGGGACCGTTCTACCATCGACGCAATCATGAGCGTGCATGCCCTCTCTAATACGGCCATCGCCAGGAGCGAGTGGGTTTGGAGGTGTCGTTGGACCAGGCAACGCATTTAACACCCATCCGGATAGTTCATTCCAGGGCTGGATGGCAAATGGATACTTGGCAAAATGATCTTGGAAACACTGAATGAGCAGCAGTTCCAGGCAGCAACAAAAAACTTTGCTGCGTTGGCGATTGGATAACTTAGGTTAGTTTTTTTATTGTATGTCTATAGGTTCGTATTTCAGCTGTTAATTTACGTGAAAACTATTGGCAAATTTGATATTTTGAAGATAGGTTGTATTCTATCTAGCAAGCGCTTGACAACTGGGTTTTGGAGATATAGCGGGATAATTCTACTATGCTCCCAATGTTTATCAACACAATATCGAAATTATTAAAACAAAACAATTGTTTTATTGGTGATGTTTTACAGAATGAATTAATTGAGAACACTAAAGGAAAGATTCTCAATGCACTTTTGTACCTACGTATTTAAATAACATTAACACTAATTGTCATTGACATTTTGATATTGTCAATTCTTTGTATAGGCACAGATACATACAAGGTCGTCAAGGCCATAATCATATTATATAATTGAAAATATTTATGTGTTAATATGTCAGAAAACTAAAAGGTTAGGCGAGATTCTAAATAAATTTCTAAATAATCCTCGAGGTAGTTATATTCACGATGATTCGTTGTGTGGTTTGATGGTGGTGGATGCTCTTATTGTCTTGACCTGTATTTATCAATATACGTAAAGGAAATAATCAACGTAACATAACTTTCACTAATTTAAAAACGTCCGATGAACTTGAAAATTAGGACACGCATCAAGAACGATGACTTTTATACGACCCAGGCAACGACGAAAAGCAAAGCCGCGACATGCTTGGCTGAAAAGCATTCTTGTCAGTCCCCAGTCTTCAGTATTGCTTGCAATACGTGCTTATAGGCCCCTCAGACACCGGCCACCGTCTCTCACTCTTGGTCGTGATCGACGAGTTCGACGAGAGGATCAATCCGTAGACAAAGTATACCGAGTTTCTCGCCGGATGGGTTCGGAGGCGTTAATGTCTTCAGGTCCTTAGGGTCTAGTAACCACATCACAACAGATGGAACTGTGAGCTCTTTTACACACTTAAACAATGAAAAGCCTTACAAGTATCCGATAAAGTGCGGTATACGAACAACTAGTATGACTGCCATACTTCCGCGAAAAAGAATTGCAATTGCCGCCAGCCACCTCGAGCATATGAACGATATCTCAATTGTATTGTATAACGGCTGATCAAATCGGAACGCGGGACTGCTTCACTGCAGAAACAGGCAAGACGGTGGTACTTATTCGTGCGGGCTTACATTGTTCCCTACCACTGTCTAATGACATTGAATGGTAAATTTAAGTCCACTGAGTTTCTCGCCGGATCTTCTCGATTCGGTGGTAGATTCTTTGAAACGCTGCTTTGCTAGGGCTAGTGTTAGCAAATTCTCTCAGGTTTAACACGTGAGCTCACCTACCCGTCCGCGCGTAACTGGAATAACCTCTTAAGCTACCAGCGAATAGGTAAAAAAAACGATACCAGTACAGTGGTCTCATTACTTTGACTAAATATAACCAGGTTAAAAAAAGAAAGAGGTGTCATATGACCACCCGGTTGGAACGGGGCTCCATTTTCCATTTTTTTATGTGTATATTAAGTAGTAATCAAATAATAAATAAAGAGTCAGTATAAAATAAAAACCAATCATAAAATTTTAACAAATGCGAATAAAGTTGGTATTGCTTGAATCATGGATTTCTGGAATTTTCGTGAAAATAGGTACATCACTGTCTTATTTTATTATTTAATATAAATTTATAAAATTTCTTTGAATATATTCAAAATTGACGACCAGATGAATCGATAGAAAAAAGTTTCACTTGTCTAGGTGATCGGAAAGTGCCCCTTAACCCATTAGACCTGAGGAAAGTGCCCCAAAAACCACTGCAAACTGTCGCTTTTTGGGGTCGTTTTTCATTATTACTCTTTCCGGTCTAGCCCCTCAGTCCGCAAACAAAACATGCGCTAATATGCGTAAAAATATATTTGTTTGTCTTGTCATTCAAGTGTGATCGTGTACGTATTATTAAAAATATGTTTTAATTAATGTATTATGTTACCACTACTGCCACTCGTGTTTATTTTCGAGAAATGTTCTCTTTAATTCGATTTATACCTAACGAAAAATTGTACTGTGTCATTTATATTAATACATATGTGCAATTATAAATATCCTGTTTTTAAAATCCAATGTTCAAGTTCCAGTCACCGCGACGGCTGTGCAAGTTCATTGACACTTACGATGACACCGCGCGTATCAATTTTTCAAGGAATGTACACACAACGTTTCTTGTCTTGATTACAGTTGAGAATTCAGTTTTTTTCGGCATCAACAGGAAGCTTTGCTTATACGTGTATAAGCATCGAAAAATAACTAAATAACATCGTATTTTATTACATCCACTATATTATCGTGTACTAACGGCGGATCCAGGGGGGGTCATAGGGGCCATGACATCCCCCCCCCCCCCCCNGGCGGATCCAGGGGGGGTCATAGGGGCCATGACATCCCCCCCCCCCCCGAGCAGATTCCAGGTTCAGTTTTGCGGAGTATTGCGTCATACCCCTCGACATACCTCTAGCTGATAGTGCTTCTCTGGATGTCTTCAAGAGAAGATGGCAATATGTACGTGTATATGTACAAGTTATTATGTGTTAAGTTTTTCAAGTGTACAATAAAGAATAAATATCTTTAAGTACAGTACTTACGTACATTAATAAAATACCTACTTTTAACTTGTATCTATTGTTATCAAAATTAAATTATAAGTTCTTGACTTGACCACGACTATGTGACCCCCTCTTGGCGCCAAAGCTGGACCCGTCCTTGTCGTGTACAAATAAATGTTTTGACTGATTTCAATGAAACGAAAATATTTTCTTTCAACGTAGCTGCGACACTATCGTGAAACGTATTATATTATATATTGAAAACATAACAACACGATAATAAATGAAGATATAATATTATTGTTACAATAATGAACAAACTTCACATGCAATAATTGATCCACAGTATGAGGGTTCAACAAACGGAGAACGGTAAGTAAATAATAAATGAAAGAATGAATATTTAAATACAATTATTACTGTATCATTTTCATCAAACGTATCAAACGTAAATTTCAACTGAATCTCAATATCAGAGCTGATGGTTGTAAAGTGTGCGGATTTTATTCAATATGAATAAAATTTAAGCACTGTTCATTGGTAATTATTTGGGAACAGCTGGAACGATTTGTCATTAATTTTCGATTCGTAATAATACGGATATCATATATTTTTTAAGAAATAATAACATGGATAATGTCTGTCGGGGAGTTATTATAACTAGCAGATTGTAATGAAACTTCAGAATTCTGATTAGGTACGTTTTAAACTCATCTAATATGCTACACATAAAATAAACCAAGACAAACTAGTTTTTGTTACGAAGGCACTGTATTATATCTCATTGGCTAGACTAATGACATACATTAATTACATTCTCAATTAGCTCCTGACGGAAGCGGATTTTAATTACTATAGTTTTAAATGAATGTTTGAATCAAACAATCGCTCTTATGTTTTTAGTATTCAGGCTTATTCTAGAATTTTTCTAGCCCTACCCTCAGGGACTATAGATAAATGGATTCGCTGTTGTATCTTGTATCACGAGAATTAGAGTAGATGACTGATTCTCATCAACGTCAAACATGCCAAAAGGTAAGACCAAGCTTACCGTTAACACATTGAAAACTATGACGGACTATGATGTGTCCACGGCATACTTTCCCCTTGGGCCGCACCAATATATCAAGAATCGTTCAAAAATTATATAAGTGTTTTTCGCAAATATTGTCAAAAAGTATCTCAAAAATAATTGGCGATTTACGGAAACTAATGGTAGTTTTCCAATTACAGCACAAGAGCGCATTATGCGGCATAATGCTCAACGTTGAATGTTCCAACTACAGCAACGCTTCGCACAATCGAGCACTCTCAAAAGTACTGCTCTCGCGTGATACTCGCAATCGATACCGACTCAGTGACAGAAAATTGACAAGTGTTTTTTCTTTATGTTGGCATTGATCGAAATTTTGTTTATATTATCGTTATTATTATTTAATGTTGAAAAAAATTGTAAGGCTTTCGTTTCGTCGTAGTTTCTATAATCAATGTTAATTAAAACTGTGCTAACTTAGCGCACTCTGCTGATGCATTTGAAAACTAATTCACGTTCCAATTAAGCTTCAGCATAATTCGGCATTGTGCGTCACTGAGTCGCATTATGCTCTGTAATTGGAAAACTACCAATGACTAGTCATTATTTTCCGAGGTGTCAAATGTCCGTTGCGCCACCCTGGACCCAACTTATTGGCGGTCACAGGGTGTCCGCCACGGCCTGCTGACCTAAGCATGGTTTCTAGTCTAGAAATTTCGTGTCCCCGGACATGTCATAAGCACCGTAGTGGAGAATTGACATTACTCATTGACTAGAATATGAATATAAAGCTGTAAATTAATTTACCTTTTTCCCCCTTCCTATTCGCTGGTAGCTTAAGGGGGCTATTCCAGCTACGACCGGACGGGTAGGTGAGCTCACGGGCTCCTAATACTAGCTCTAGCAAGAGTAGTGCTTCACAGAATCTACTACCGGTTTGGAATCGCGACCCTCTGAGAAGATCCGGCGAGAAAGTTAGCGGGCTAATGGTTAGCTTAGGTTGTACGTCGAATTCTTTGTCGAGTTCGACGAGTACGGTTACCGGAGTCCCTGAGCCTGCTCCTAGTGCTAGAGCTAAAGGCGTCTAATTCAGCAGTTGTTGGATCTGATGTATCCGTAAGGACGTGTAAGAGTGGAGAATTCATAACAGATTTGAATACGAGACAAATGATCTGTGGATTCGTCCCCTTTTCAATTTATAAAACTCTTCGAATCTGGCCGCATAACCGATTTGCGGGAGAAATATGCATACTCTCAAAATGAATCATAATCAATAGTTAAGATAGGGACTGCATAAATAAATTAATGTTCAATATACACACCTTAGCCGTCTTCTTTCATTCGATGTTAGAACTGCAGGCATACCTCGCATGGCCAGCAGGTGGTTAACTGTATGTGTTGGTAAGTGATATGAAGGACCTTGCTTGTTCAGCTGTTTCTGTAAAGGTTATTACTATCATTGTATTTTTGTAATGTGACATGTATATTTTTTTAGCTCATTAAAAAAAAAACAATCATCTCTCAAAATATATTTATGTTTAGGATTTAAAAAAAGCTATTTCTTTGATACTCAACACTAAATAGGGATGTAACGTTTTAAAGTTTCAAAAATATACTCTTACTTCTATGTGAACATTTCAATTACAGAATTACTTTGATTAATGTTGCTAGTGCTCTATCATCTCTGTAGTCTCTGGCTAGTTTTAGTCCTGTATTTGCTCTCACAACGTGCCTCCGTAAAGCAGCCCGACGCAGCGCCAGCCGTGCACTTCGACTTTCTGCTGCTGTTTCTTCAACGCAGACCGGACCTCCACCTGATTCTGAAATATAACAGTGATTTTCCATTAATAAATAGTTATTTACATTGAAACTCAATTGCATTGTATAAATTGTCCTATTTTTATATTTGCACACTCAGAAAATATCTTACTAACAATTTCAATAAAAATATATTTAGTACAGAATTAATTTACAGTTAGTTTACAATAAAATATATTTTGTAATAGCTCATGTATGTGAAAAAATATTATAATATTAATGAACAAACTCGCATTGTTATTATGATGATACACAACATGAAACACAAGTAACTAAGCCACAAAACAAAAAAAATTGCTTGAATAAAGAAGACCCAAAGGTTTTTTTTTAAATTAACTCTCTTTTTTATCTCGCCTACAATAGCCATTAGCTAATTCAAATAAAAAATAATCTATAAAATAATCAACTTCACCTACAATTTTGATATAAATGTTTAAAGTCAATGACCTCAAAGTCATTGATAATGAACTCCCGAATAAACTGACCTTCAGCTGTGTCATAACAATCTGCAGAATATTTGTTATACTTCTGATGTCAAATGACCTTGAACTTGCATGATCAACATTATGTATGCACATATGGATACAAATTTATCATAATAATTTTAAACTTCACAGAATACCTGATGTGTACAGATGAATATGGATGGTTTACTCTTACTTATGTAGTTAGATTGATTTGAATGTGGTTAAAATTTGTTATTTTTTTTATTTTATTTTTATTGCTTAGATGGATGGACGAGCTCACAGCCCACCTGGTGTTAAGTGGTTACTGGAGCCCATATACATCTACAACGTAAATGCGCCACCCACCTCGAGATATAAGTTCTAAGATCTCAGTATAGTTACAACGGCTACCCCACCCTTCGAACCGAAACGCATTACTGCTTCATGGCAGAAATAGGTAAATAATATTATTTTATATTTCAATGATATTTAAGTTCTGACACTATGTAAGCAAGCATATTTTAAGCTATGTTCCAACTAATTTAATATTGCAAAAAAAATTCAATTAGTCACCACTTTTCACAAAGAAAATTTGATTATAGAACAAATTTACGTTTTACCAATTTAGATTTCAAAGTTTGTAACATGAATAAGTTAATTTATTTCTTAGAATATTTTTGCATACAAGCTTTCTAAAAATATGGCAATGCAAAAAAATAAATTAAATATATTCACAATTTTCTGTTTATAGTTTGTTTATTTATACTTATTTTACTACTCCTTACTTATTGTATCTTTTATTTGACTAAAAATGTTTTCATTTATATTACACTTTTCATGTATTACCATAATCAGGAATATTATCATCATCACTACTGCTCGTGTCAACCTGCCTGAACCCAGGACGTTTGCTGTCCAGCGGTCCACAGCTAAACAATATTTCTCCTGGAGCATGCCATGTACCACAAGGTACAGGCAAAGCACGGTTTTGGTTAGATATCCGTTGCAAAGCTTCATGAACAGCTGGTCCTCTGCCTTTACGCTGTTTTGATTGATGTGTCTTTCCTATTTAAAAAATTTAATCATGTATTTTTTATGTCTTCATAAGTGTTATGTTTTACAGGTCTCTTACAGATTGGTACCGCCATCCTACCTATTTCTGCTTTAAGGTAATGCATCCAATTTTTTTGGAAGGCAAACAGTTTTAAAATACATTTGAGACTACGACTTTATATTTCAACAAAGACATCGGCAGTCATCACTTTAACAATTTATACTAGGTGCCCATCTGCCCATTTATCATAAAATTCCAAATGGGATTCCTTTTCATTTTTAGCAATATCATATTAAATTATAATGAAGCACTAACCTGCAGATGCTTTTTTGGGTGGTGTTGTAGGTACTTTAANCAGTTTTAAAATACATTTGAGACTACGACTTTATATTTCAACAAAGACATCGGCAGTCATCACTTTAACAATTTATACTAGGTGCCCATCTGCCCATTTATCATAAAATTCCAAATGGGATTCCTTTTCATTTTTAGCAATATCATATTAAATTATAATGAAGCACTAACCTGCAGATGCTTTTTTGGGTGGTGTTGTAGGTACTTTAATGACAGAAGCAACAGATTCCCTATTAATGACTACTTTATTATCAACCAATCCTTGTTCTCTTTTGAAGACATCTAAAAAAGTTTCGTTGCTAGACGTTTTTGACAACAAGATGGTATTATCATTTACATTAACATTATTAATACTGTTTTTATTACTTGTAGCTGTTGCATTTTCAATCTGACAGGGGCCACTTCCTTGATTAATTGAAGTTGTCGACTCTCTACGTATTGGCTCTTTAACCTGTTTAGTTTTCAATGCTTTGGTATTTGTAGTCTTAATATCTGTAGCAGTCTGCTTGGAGATGTGTGTGTAATGTCCGTTTGTGACAATTTCTTCTTTTTCCTTTTTAACATCACCATTTGTATATTTTACTGGTACCTCTAAATCTTTACTCGGATTCTCTAACTTGATTTTATCATGATCCAGCATATATGCATCTTCTGTATGACTAACGGTGATCTCACCAGCGACAACATCAGTATCATGAAACGTGTATAACTCGTTTGGATCTATTTTGAATTTAGTAAAGAAATTGTCATTAAATGGAGTTATGTAAGTTTGTTCATCACCGGAATTGTCATGTATAAACATGTTGACATCGCCACATCCCGATACACCTTCAACAGCCATTTTATATTGTGTAGCACAGCTTGCATCTGATATGTTTTGTGGAATACCACTAAAACTGAAGCCAGGACACATTATGCCTATTACGAATGATATTTAATAAAAATTTAAAAAATGATATAGAAGTGTTAAGATAGTTTGCCAATTTTATCAATTAATATGCAATTTCATTATAATTATGGTTTAATGATTAATTATCTACATTAATTAGGTATCTTAAGTTATAAAAAGTTTTTGTTACACTCAAAACTTACCCAACATTTTCTGAAGCACTCAAATAAGACATACTGTGCTCATTTTACATTTAAACTTCCAAACAAAAAATTGTTTTACAAATTGCTTGCAAATTAGTTTGGTCCCATCTCTTCATACTGGAATAACAAATTGATTACTTAATAAACTATGTTTTTTACTCTTTTTATTATGAAAATCTCTGTTTCAAGTTTCTCCTTGCAGTTTTAACTGTTACTGACACATGTCAAATTAGTTATTTAAATATTTTTAATAGTTTTCACAAAATGCAGTGTAAAGTGTGATGAAGTAATTAAATGTAAACTATTTGTTTTATTGTTGTCCAATCTGAAACAGTTATAAACATTGTTTCAGGAATATGATGATAAACGATCCTCACATGATTAAACGACTATATTATAGTTAGTTTTGTTCCTGGAATTATTGCAGTATATTATTAAATGTTAAAAGTGTTTTAATTAGCAATTTTATTAGGTTATGAGCATACAATTATTAAATAAAACAAAATTGTTAGAAACGAACAACTGACATAACGCAGCAAATGGCAGCCAAGATCCACAGATGAACAAAATTGCTACTGTTTTTGCTATTTTGAAGTGGCTGTATATAATCGGAGGCATGTGCCCAATCGAATTCGAGGTCAGTCAAAAAGTCAGAGTTACGGAAATCTCTGAGACTTTTAACTTTGAATGCGGTTATTAAAAGTGATGAATTCTTTTACTTTGTAAATTTTGTTTTTTCAGGTTAAGCGTGTAAAAAGGATGGCTTATTAACCGCTATTGTAATTCTTTATTCTAAGTCAAATTGTCTTAAGCCGCAAAAGTAAGAAACAAAATTAAATGTCAAAAATTGATCTCATCAATAATATTATCACCGGTTGTTTTATCTCTTTTAACAAATAGCTTCTTACAACAAGTTACCCCGTGCTCTTCCTGGCTTTGAACTACATGTAAAATGGATAAAGGTATTTCAGATCCAAAACTTATCGTCTCTTGTTTTTTTTATTGAGGTAGTTTGCACAATGCTGACAAGAAAAAAAAAATTCTCTGATCCAACACGCACACAGTGTCATCTAATTTTAATTCTTTTAATTCCATTCAATAATTATGAACACATGTATACATTTCATACATATCGATTTCATTTTATAATATAAATATATTTTCTATTTGAATGATTTTATCTTCTTTTTAAATAAAATAAGTTACGTCCATGGAGTTAATAAGTACACCTCGACCAAGCTAAGTTTGCACCTCGCTGGAATGCAGCGGTCCGCCCGCATCTCCGCTCACCTTCCCGCGATCGCCCTGTCGCGTCAGTATGGTTAGCATCTTTGTCGCGACACGCGTCATACGAGTTTTCGTCTACCTATACGTTGAATTTTATATTTTTTAACTGTTCTTGTTAGGTTTTTTGTTGAAGTTTAGTTATATTATTGGACTATTTTTGTTGGAGTTTGAATATAAATGTAATGGCAGGCAACACTTGACACATGATTACAGATTTGGAATATTAGAATTATTTTAAATGTTTAAAAAACAGATGATTGTATTCTCCTAAGAAAAAGTCAGTACTTCTCATCTTGACACGGTCAAAGAAACATGTAATAGTTTTATAAAAATATAAAGATAATAATTTTATAATGGTGTAAAAGTGTTCAAGCTATCTGCAATATAATTATAATGAAGCAGTGTATTTTTAAATAGCCCCTCATCAACCTAAAGAACCCAATCCCCTCAAATTTAACCGTCCAACAATTTTGGTTAAGTTTTTGTTAAACTGTTATTACTGAACGCTTAACGTTCATTTTTTTTTTACTTCTAGAGGATTGTTGTGGGCAACAAAATAAAAGGAAAGGTGATACACAATGAAGGGAGATCACAATGAAGAGAGACATAATCCTGAAAAAGAAACTTAAAGGAAAATTATTACTGAGCAATTGGGATACAAATTTAAAAAGTGCAAGAACGCCCGCGTGGTCTTAATACAAAAACCCGATATCGCTATATTCTAATGTACCTATGTACAATATATTGTTAAAAACAATAAATACAAAGTTAAATCTAACAAACATTTGTTTACATTTTAAAGTCATAGCGAATCCTTTTTTCAGACCATACCTAAGCGGCAGTGTGACGTAAGCGATGCGAGGTGCAAACTTAGCTTGGTTGAGCTGTACCTACAGTTACGTCCTATGTCATTTTTGTGCAACAGAGCCTATGCTATTTACGAACCACCAAAAAATGTCTTAATTTAAAACATAATAAATAAGATATGTACATACCTAGTTATTATGCACATACATTTATACTTATAAGCAGTGAATATAAATATTAAAGTTGTTATTTGGAGTACTATAAGATTGTTTCAAATATATGCATATCCCAAAATTAAGCTTGGAACATATTTTCAAGCAGTGATTGAGAGCCGTCCTAAAACAAATAAAATTTGAATTTCGCGCAATTTATTCAATTTGAGAACCCCATTTTTGAAGCGTTGTTGTGAATTCAATATGGCGATATTTGATGTTGTACTATTTTGAAGGTACGTCAATTTGACGAATTTGTAATGATATTTTCGGTAAATATTGTGTTGTTTCCGAGTCGTAAATGTTCACAGACGGTTTTTGCAATTGGAAGTATGTTTAAATGAATAAAGTGCAATATTGAAACGTTTACATTATGTATTGTTTTGTTTGTGATTTCCGACAATTTTAATTATTTAACCATTGTTTTAAGTAAGAAATTTGAAAAAACTTCATGTGCTTAAGTTGAAAAGCTTCGTTAGTGCTGCTATTTTTGGAGATACGTTGTGCCGGTGGTTCACGGTTAGGTGTGTTTCGCCAAAACGTTAGGACCAAAATGTGTTGTAATTGCGGTAATTAGATTCGGAATATTCCTGGTGCCTATTACTGAAGTTAGTTTTTTTTTTACAGAAGTTCATATGTTTTACTTACAAATGGGAGGTAAATAAGTTTAGTATAAGGTGCAAAATATAAGCGCCACAATAATTGAATCACTACTTGAGTACATAGTGTTTAGAGCAGTGACTATCATGACAGACACAAGACGAAGAGTGAAATTATACGCTCTGAACGCTGACAGACAGTGGGATGATCGAGGAACCGGGCATGTTTCTTCTTGTTATGTTGAAAGGTTGAAAGGAACCTCACTCATGGTTAGAGCCGAATCTGACGGCTCCCTGTTATTAGAAAGTAAGATACAACCTGATACAGCCTATCAAAAGCAACAGGACACATTAATAGTGTGGTCAGAAGGTGACAATTTTGATTTAGCATTAAGTTTTCAAGAAAAAGCTGGCTGCGATGAAATATGGGAAAAGATTTGTCAGGTAAATAATACAATTATTATTTTTGGTATAAAATAGATTCCTATCAAGGTGGCTCAATATTTGAGCATTATACACAAAGAAAGGAAATATAATAGAAAGGTTAACCTCAATCAAGGTAACGCTGTTTAGTAATAGAGAAATAATATAAGTAATGTCATCACTGATGTTATTAATCATTAAATTTTGCTGGGGTATAATAGCTATGAAGTTATGGATTTCACTTTTAGGTACAAGGAAAAGACCCATCAGTTGAAATCACTCAAGATATTGTGGAAGAATCAGAAGATGAACGTTTTGATGATATATCAGATAGTGTGCAGCCTGTGGAACTGCCTGCATGTGAAATGGGACGCTTGGAGGATATTAGTGAACTTGTAAACAGTTGTTTGGTCTCACCAGTACGTAAAGATAAGTTAACAGCTGCACTAGAGAGCCAACACTATATAAAGAAATTGTTGAATCTCTTCCATATGTGTGAGGATATTGAAAATATTGAAGGGCTGCACCATCTATATGAAATCTTTAAAAGTATATTTCTTCTTAATAAAAACACACTTTTTGAAACTATGTTTGCTGATGACACAATATTTGATGTTGTCGGCTGCTTAGAATATGATCCCAGTTTGCCTCAGCCCAAAAAACACCGAGAGTATCTTAGAGAATTAGCAAAATTTCGAGAGGCAATTCCTATAAAGAATAAGGATTTATTAGCTAAAATACATCAAACATACAGAGTTCAGTACATACAAGATATAGTCTTACCTACACCTACAGTTTTTGAGGATAATCTTTTAAGTACATTGTCAAGTTTTATATTTTTCAATAAAGTAGAGATAGTGAAACTCATAGAAGATGATGAAAAATTTTTGACTGATTTATTCAAGTTATTGATGGATGACAAAACACCTGATATCAAAAGAAGGGATTCTGTTTTATTTCTGAAAGAGTTCTGTAATTTTTCCCAAAATTTACAACCTCAAGATAAAGATGCCTTTTATAAAACTTTAGTCACTTTGGGTATCCTGCCAGCATTAGAAATCACACTAAGTATAGATGATCAGAAGACAAAGACTGCTTCAATAGACATATTAACATATATTGTGGAATTCTCACCTTCAGTTGTAAGAGATTATACATTACAACATGCTAATAATACTGAAGAGGTAAACATCACTTCCTTAAATATGAATAAGAAGTATTATATTCATTTAATAATCATGTTCCTTATTTTAGGAGCATATGCTGTTAAACATAGTTATAGAACAGATGTTACAAGATCGTGATCCAGAGCTGGGTGGAGCTGTTCAATTGATGGGTGTTTTGCGTATTTTGCTTGATCCAGAAAGTATGCTTGCATCTGTTAACAAAAGTGAAAAAGCAGACTTCCTAAATTTCTTTTATAAACACAGTATACAAACCTTGATTGGTAAGTTACAACTTATCTACTATTTTTCAACATATATTTAAATATTTTTGCATGAGTTATGCAATGAAGTAAAAGTTGTTGAAGGATAAATATAATATCTTTAAAAATATTCAGACTCATTCAATTCAATTTTAATTTTATGACAAGTAAATTTGAAACTTGTTACACAGCTCCTTTACTAGATAATACTACTGGTGAGAAGCCTCTAAAAGAAGATTATCACACAGTGCAGCTTTTAGGACTTGTACTAGAATTACTTTCGTTCTGCGTAGAACATCACACATACCATATCAAAACCTGCATATTAAATAAGGTAAGTAATTTTATATAGTGAATGTTATCCATATTATGAAATGTATGAAATTGAGGCTGTTCTTTAGTTTACACTGATGGCATTGAAATAATTTATAATGATCAGTTGCTCAAATTTTGTCTGAGTATATTTTTTATTATTAATGTCTTCTAATTTATGCCTGCTATTAATTAAAAATTAATATGGTTCCCTGTAAGAGCAGCATTTTTGAATTTGTTCAGTGTGTTTGAATATATGAATATGGGTATAAAATATGAAAATAGGGAATCCTATAATGAAAATAGCCTCATATAAATTCTCAAATAGCTGTCTTTGGTTTATAGGACCTTCTCCGACGCATCTTAGTGCTGATGAGGTCGACACACACATTTTTGGTGCTTGGTGCCTTGAGATTTATGAGAAAAATAATTGCATTGAAAGATGAATATTATAACAGATACATAATAAAAGGAAACCTCTTTGCGCCAGTTATAGATGCTTTCCTCAGGAATAATGGCAGGTTAGTTTTTTTTTATTGCCATTGATGGAAGATGAGAGAAGTAGATAAGATGTTTAACTTTACTTTAAAGAGGTCAATTGAAAAAGTTTATAGTAGAAAGTCTAGTAGAAAGCTTTTCAATACCCAAGAATAGTTACAATGCCTCCTATAAATTATTTATGGCATGTCATTCCGGAAACTATAACTGATTTATGTACTTTATTAATACAAGCTTCAAACCCTACATACATTTTCGTTCTAGTAACTATATTTCATGAACCCCTCCATGCCATCGCGATTTTTTCGGTTATGGTGGTGGACTACATGTCTTTGTTTGGCTGAATTACCTAATTAATACACCCTATATAAACATGAGAGGCCCCTTGTTTATTAAAATTGTCTGTATTAACTTTTGTAATTGGTTTGATTATTTGAATGTTTCAAAAGTAAGCCATAAAACATAAATTTCAATCCAAACAAGCAAGAAAATACGCATTCTGCTTGTGATGTTTATATATAGTCCCTTCATCTATGGTTTGAAGCTGACCTTGAACTAAACTTTGAGATTGTTCCAAGGTTTTGTGTGAAGCATTAAATAACTGTAAAATGAGTTGTATCGAAATAAAAACAAGTTTTAAAAATAGCTGCAGTTATTGAGAGGCCTATTTTGTAATCTCTTATTTTAGAGAAATCTAGAAGTAAACAAATTAAAAAAAAGTATTTTTTCCAGTATACACTTGATTTGATTACTAATGTAGGGAAATTTATATGAAATAATTTTAAACTAGAATTTATCTACGTTTTCACCTGAGATTCAGGTCAACTTTAAATGCTTAGATGGGCAGATGCTTTGCTCGCAAGGTAGTGTTAAGAATTTTTTAAAGTGCCTATGAATTAGATTTTGATTTTGTGCTGCAGTCTGAATACAGTAAGCCTAAGCAGCAAAGCTTGACAACAAAGTTTCTCTTTGTTGTCAAATCTTGATGCTGCAACTGAAACACATGATTGGTTTATGTCAATGGTAAAATTATGGTAAAAAAAAAATGGGGCTATTACCTGTCCAGTTTCACTGCACCCATTATTTTAATCATATAACTATGTATAAGTACAAATATTAATCACTTTACATTTTATCTTCAGGTACAACTTGCTTGATTCCGCAATATTAGAATTATTTGAATTTATAAAACTGGAGGACATCAAATCATTATGTTCGCATGTTGTGGAGAATTATGGAAAAATATTAGAAGATATTGAATATGTGCAGACTTTCAAAGCTTTAAAAACACGATATGATCAACATCAAGACAAATTAAAAGAAAGAGAAAGAGGTAAGGCTTTTGTTTAAATTAGGTTTAAAGTAACCATTTACAAAATAGATTTCAAAAATAATTTTATACTTTTGTAAACTAATTTAATTATAACTATTATTTTAATTTCGATGGAATGAAATATTTACATCTCGCCTGATATTATGTACAGTGGCTGCTGCTGTTCGTAGACACTACACTTATAAAAAAAAAGAAACATTTTGTGGAAGTCATGGTGGTTGGGGTTATACACACTGTATTTTCAGATTTATTTGATTTTGTTATGATATATCATGAGGGCTGATAGGCTAATCTTGCGGTGAATAGTCAGTTATGTGTAATTTAAATAGTGAGATTTATTAGAATTTTTAAAATGAGCCTTCAATCTCACATTAAACAAAGTAGATAAGAGTAAACTGTAAAATCTATTTACCCACACAAAAAAAAATCTGCTCATATATAATAATAAATAATATTAGAGATCTTTCTGTGTGCTAGTACTATTAACTTTAAATCTGCCAAAGGGATTAAATTGTTGACTAAATTTTATGTTATTTTTCATTCAGTGAGCGGTAGTGTGGGCGTGACGGAAGCGGTTGTCCCATCGCTACTGCGCACGCGGTATCGCCGAGAAGCACGGGCGCCGGACGAAGAAGAAGAGATGTGGTTCAACGATGATGATGAACTAGAAGACGAAGCGCCGCTAGAGTCGGCACAACCGCACGCCCATCCACATGCGCACACGCATCACGGACTAGATGCGATCGGTAATTAGCTTCGAGATTTATCTGATAGATATAAGCAGTTTTGACAATTGACTAATGAAGTCGTCGTGGCCTAAAGGATAAGACGTCCGGTGCATTCTTGTTGAGCAATACACCGGTCTTCGAATCCTAGGCGGGGTTACCAATTTTTCTAATGAAATATGTACTCAACAAATGTTCACGATTGACTTCCACGGTGAAGGAATAACAGCGTGTAATAAAAATCAAACCCGCAAAATTATAATTTGCGTAATTACTGATGGTAGGACGTCTTGTGATTTCGCGCGGGTAGGTACCACCGCCCTGCCTATTTCTGCTGTGAAGCAGTAATGCGTTTCGGTTTGAAGGGTGGGGCAGCCGTTGTAACTATACTGAGATCTTATGCTGGAACCACACTGCGTTATGCGCTATTCGTTAAGTGACTACGCCGTATTTGCCAAAATATTTGTTATGCGCGCCAACAATAATCATGCCATCCACACTTCGAACTTGTACGCTGAATTATGCCAAATAAGGCAAATATGTGTGTTGTTTGCGTGGAGCGATGGGACGTGTTGAGAGTTGCCGCAATTTATTATTTCCTAAATGCTTCTTACCAGTACTTGTTGTACAAGCACAAAGTTACTACAAGACCGAAAAGAAAACGCTGGTGGATGATTGCAAGTCATAAGACACGTCGATACACGACCGCCGCAAGCGAGCGAATGATTCACCAAAGTGTGGGCAGTCGATGCGCATATTCGCCTTATTCGTGTCCTTTGAAGTGTGTCAAAAAACCTACAAGTCGACGGATACGCGTATTTGCTATTCGCCCTTATGTGTTATGCGTACGAATAAAGCGAATATTGGTGAATATACTCTCCACACTTCACCGTATGCGCGTGAATAGCCCGCATAACGAATAGCGGATAGCGCAGTGTGGTTCCGGCATTAGAACTTGTATCTCAAGATGGGTGGCGCATTTACGTTGTAGATGTCTATGGGCTCCAGTAACCACTTAACACCAGGTGGGCTGTGAGCTCGTCCACCCATCTAAGCAATAAAAAAAATTTGACTATTCTGTCAATTTACCATTATGTTTAAAGGTTACGATAGTTTTTGCTACCTGTTTTTGGTTTGACTGCAGAAATAATAAGATGTCCTAATCCATGCAAACTTAACTCGCTGGTACAAACATTTATACCATAAAATAGTAGAAAGACACTTAAATTCACATAAAGGAGAATGTGGATTTTTTAAACCATCTGGCGGCGATCACCATTGTTTTCGAAACCTATTGAACTGATTGATGGAGAGCATACCTGATCCAATAGAGAAAGGCAGGTTTCAAATTTTTTAATAAAACCTATTTTAAGACAGATTCATGAACTACTTCCATGACTAAAGCTACTTTCTTCTTTGTCGCTTTCTTCATTGCTGAAGGTCGTGTCCCTGAAACTTGACCGTGGCCTGTTTCGTGAGCTGTTTCCATCTCGTCCGGTCCTCAGCTTCTCGAATGGCGATTGCGACTGGCAGCCCAGTAAGGGCGGTTATTTGATCACACCAACGGCTAGGTAATCGGCCGCGGGGTCTCTTTCCGTCTACTTTGCCCGTCACAATCACTTTGTCCAAGCTATCTGACTGTCGGCGGGCAATATGACCGAAGTAGCTGAGGATCCTTTGGTAACAGATTGTTGAGCTAAAGCTACTAACATAATGTAAAAAATAACATAAAATAGCATTTGTGTGCAAAATCTGCCTAGTTCTACAGTGAAGCCATTATGTTTAAGTTTGGAGATGCATTTATAATGTCATAATCTAAACTCCAATGTGGAATGAGCCAATCGTTGTTATTTATAAGATCCAGTAACCACTTTGACAATGATAAAAGTAATATTTCTTTAGTTGTCCTGTTTGTGTTATTAAATCAGATATTTTGATGGCCTCAAGGCTAATATTACTGATTGAATGATTGATTGATTGTTATTATTATTCAGACAGTATGTAATATGTAAAAATTGACTCATGGTGTAGATATTATTATGTTTTGTACTTTTCTTACTATAGGGTTCTTGACACATATTCTAAGACAAAGTAGATCCATAATCGTAAACAATACTGAAAGTAAACAAACAATCAATTACATTACAATAAACCATAGCAGGTGAATCTTTCGCGTGCTGATTCGTGTGATTCGTGTCGTATTATCGTTTTTCATCAATGTTAATAAAAAGTGTTTTAAAATGTTTTTACAGTCTCCTCCACTACAAGATATTCATATTCATATTCGAAACTCCTTAGGATAATCATAAGGTGCTTGAATCCAAGTTGCCCATCTGACGACAGAGGAATGAACCCCCTCACCTTGATTTCTGAAAGAGTAACATAATATATCTTAGATCAAACAATGCCTTAATAGACTTGTTAGGTACCTTCCTGTATACATTTTTGAAACCACAATTTGTTCTGTGAGATGACATATTATTTGTGCACAAGAAATGCTTGAAACTACTTTTAATACAAAATATCTGGGCGCCTACCAGTCACAGATAGGCTTAAAATATCATTTTAAATAATTAGCGACATGACCTACTAGAATCCAGGATTTTACATGCAACTTGCAAAACAACGAATACGTGTTTTTCTTTTTTGTTTCGCCCTCTAGGCTAAAACTTTATATCAAGTATTTAAAGCAAAATGTCCGTATACATCTATCTAATACAATTAACATGAAGGATCTGTCCTGCAAATATACCCTAATGTTTCTACTAAAGTTAACCTAGTTTCTTGTAAATTAAGTTCAGAATGAACATTTAGTCTTGTAAATTTTGTATATTGAGAACTTTTTTGCCGGATTATGCATAACTACATTTTCATACATTAAAACAAAATCTTTGTTACAGGAAAAATAGTTGAGAAGAAAGTTTGCTCTAATGCAGAGACAGTTAACGGACCGACTAGAGTTCTTCTAAGTACAGCGACGTCACCCAAACCGACGCATGCTGATGTTCAGGTATCCACGCCCAGATTACTCAATAAGGTAAACTTTTGTTTCCCAACTCAAAAAGATTATAAGGGCTTTCTATGGGAAATGGTATCTCGAATCATAATTTAATCATATATGAAATAGCCATTTTATTTATATTTTACTGACTTATTTAATTCTGAACTGTCTAACTACAGTTTTTATTTGTTTACGCTGCTCACATCCGTAAAGGTGCATGCTGTATGATCATGGTCTATGCTCAATAAGGGTTTGTTAAGGGGGGTGTCTCTGACTAAAAAACACGCGAAGTTTTCATTATACCGCTTCGGACGGCCACGGTAACTACATTTAAACCCTCCATGACTCGAGAGACGAGTACCCGTACTTGAAAGAAATTGAAGAGGAGAAGAAATTTATCAACGGTACTGCGTATTGTAAGCCTCTATTGTTTTGTATCCTTGCCTATTTCTGCGGGAGAAGCAGAAATGCGTTCCTGCTTAAATCATCAAACAGCTGTTTTTATTTACGCAACTCATGCTTATCGATCATATTTCAATCTCGTTACTTAGCAGGGCAGATTCCAATCCAGGCCAAATCGATCTGAACACCGTCGCCAACGACTTATGTACTAGATTTCAAACTGGAAAACAGAGATGTTTTGCGGCATAAGCGGGTAGATTATACTGGCGCGATGTTTCTTAGTCGTGAAATTTTGTGAAAGCGTGTTAGGTAAAAGTACTTCGAGTGCCTTATGCCTTTAGTCAACACTTGCTTATTAATTAATGTTTTATAATACTTCTGAAACAACTCCGTTATAGTGGTAGGAATATAAGGTCATAAACAGCTTATCAGTATCGCGCTTGAACTTTAGCCGAAGTGTAATTTTTATGAAATTATAATATAAATTATTTACTGCACATTTTTAATTTCCTTTAGTGTTTATAGTAGGTTGAAGTTTGCTTTGATGGTGATGGTTCAATTGTGTTAAAATTTTCTATATTGTGAAATTTTTGTAATTGTATTTTTATTGGATATGTTGTCATGTCCAATTTTCGAAAATTCATGACATTTCATTCATAATAAGTACTTTAGTATTTGATAATGTTTTAAATATATTATTACAAGTTCATTACTGTAGTAAATATAATTTTATTTTGTTCAAACAATGAGCAATAATAAGAAATGAAAAATTTATGAAATTTCTCTTCAAAATTCACTGTTTTTACAATGTCAATGGTGGTTGTTTTGTAAGGAGATCCGGACGAAAACTCACAGTACTAAGTTCTCAGTTTTATTTCAATAGGTATGCAAAATTAATCCTGTTAGTGCCATGAGTAAAAATCTATATAGATAAGTTAACATGCTGAAGTCACATCTAGTGTAGTTTCCTTAGTGATCTATAGTCTTATAGAATTTGTGATTTATGTAGAAGAGTGAGTTCGACAAGTGAATGTACCACAACTACTGAATATGTTTTCCTATATTACTATGTAATGATATGATGAGGTTTAATTAGCTATGATGGACTGACGAATTTACAGTCTACTAACTTTAAGAATTTACTGGAGTCTATAGATATCACAGAGTGGACAAATTGAGACGTAGGATTAGTATCAATAGCAATGGTACAACCGCTACTGTGTCATTACATTTGAATTCTAAATTTAATATGCGGTAGAAATAGGCAGAATTGTGATATAAAACCATGTATAGGCTGGCGATATGCCCTACTATCGGTACTTATTTCAGATATTATAAACTAAGAAGTAAACCTGACCTGAGTCAGAAAATTGGTGAAGTTACTACTACTATGAATGAGTGAAGGAAATTAGAGGTTGTAACGCAAACGGGGAATGTCGCAGATACGTATGTTCTGATCCAGATTGACTGTTATCATTAATCTGATTTGGAATACTGAATACTGTGGTACAGTTTCATTAGCACAGGAGTAGATTAACCCATGGACAGCCCACTGAGTTTCTCACCGGATCTTCTCAGTGTGTCGCGTTTCCGATCTGGTGGTAGATTCTGCGAAGTATTGCTCAGGCTAGGTCGGTTTGAGCCCCGTGAGCTCCCTACATGTCAAGGAGAAGCTGAAATTGCCTCTCAAGGCTATCAGAATAGGACGGAAAAAAAATTAGCACTGTTCAGTGTGTATTAATAAATACGGAGGTTGAATATAATTGATTTATTAAATGAACAATTGTAACGGCTACTAACGCTATTCGTCTAAACTTATAGGGCCTTGTTGACTACGACGGCGATTCGGACGAGGAAGAGGACGGCGGCGGGGGCGGGGGTGGAGGCGGGGGTGGCGAGGAGCGTGACGCGAAACGACCGCGGCTCTCGTAGTCTCGTTCTCGCAGCACCACTGTTTCAAGGAATATAACATACGGACATACGTCTCGCGACGCTGTGCAACCACCATCCCAGTTTAAATTAATGACGTAAGCAATTTACGAATATAATAATGATATGGTTGTTTTGACTGTATGAGTTTATAGATGATAATGTCATTTCGACTGATGCTTGATTTGTTTGAGGGCTACAAAAAAAAAAGGCACGGTTTTGTATACTGTTATGTGAATTATTAAACTTGAATGTTGACTAAAAAAATAATTAGCTGATTCACAGACGTAACGCTTTTTTTTATATCATTTCATTTTAAGGCCGTTTATCTGGCCAGCCAATCATCTGCAGTCAAACCAACTAAAAAAATGAGGTGATCCAATTGGATATACATATGTTGTAAATACGAATCACATACTGAAGTGGTCGACTTAGTGTATGCCCTTTATGCCCCTGTAGAGTTAATTCTAATGACATCAGAACGTAGAACAAATGTAATGAGATGTATTTAATATGAAGTAATGTTAATGGTTAGATTACTTTCGTGGGCGTTAATCACAAAAAGTACAAAGAGTATAAGAATGGGGTTTTCTAATTAAAAAAATAGATTGATTTAGAAAAAATAAATATTGTCAAAAATGACTTGAAATTGTAAAAATGTATTTATAAAAATCATTTAGTTTATGAACGATCACAAGACCAATTTCTAGAAAGAAAATAACATGTGCTGTGGAATTGCTATTCATTCACTAGTGTGTTATTGTGTTATAAAAATACACACAATTGCTGCCTTATTTCCTTATGTATTTTAAATATACTTTATGGACGAATTTTTCAACTTGTAGAACGAGTTAAATGGAAAACAAAACATTATCATTTTTATAGTTTGTGTGAGGAGGAAGGTAGCATAATATTTTATTTGTATACTTTTATCTGCAAGTGGGGAAACAATATATGCCTCTTTTCGACGGCATGCTTATTATTTATTTATTTATTCACACAGTACTTTGCATTCCTTGACTCTGAGCTTTTGTGAAACGATTTTATATGCATTCTAATTCTTCTGACATTTTCTTTGTAGTTTATGTAATATAGTATTTTGTTGCGAGTAAAAAATTTTGATTGAATTTGGTGTTTTGCTAAATTGAATGGAGTATTAAGCAACCTAAATTTGCTTGGCAGCTCAAGAAAGAACTGTACTAATATAGTATAAATACGTTTCGTCAAATTAATATTACTTAATATTTTACGCAATATGCTGCTTATGCATGACATTCTTAACATTACTTATTATATGTAGCTTATATAACAAAAATGTCTAAAATATATAGGTACCGTGACTGGAAATGAGACCGCTTATGGAACTTTAATCTGACCTATTTTTCAATTAAGCCAATATGTTTACTATTTTATTAAACTTTGTCCATGTATGTGTAATATTAGTGAAAGTCTATTGGTTGGAATTTTATTTCAAGCTGAACCCAGCTGGTTGTTGTTTGAGTGCTTATTGATTATTGATACCCGGAATAAACCCGTTTCCGTCCTAATGCTGTAATTTAAAAGCAATTTTTTTTTTCTCAAAGAAACAATATAATAATATTATTATGTAGTGAGAAATTTATGAAGAATTTGAAATTGAACTGCATATTGATAACAAAACTGAAAACGTAACTTGAAAACTAATTTCTCCTTTTCTGAAACTAGCTACTTCAATATGACTATAGCTACTTCAATATGACTAACATAAAAATGAAAAGAAATTTTAAAATATTTGAAATGTACTTAAATTTGACTAAAAAATACGGGTCCTGCTAAATTAAAATCTATTAAATATACAATAGTATCAGCATTTCGAAAAAAAAAATGTCAATTGGAAAATAAATATTAGATTCATAAATGTGTTCAGTTATAACATATTGCTATTTAAGTTTTCTCAAAATAATTGTTTTTTTTTTTGCCGAATATATTATAAAGTATCACCAAATTCAAAATTCAATTATTTACTCACAACAAATTTTCATTGCTTATTTATATTATAGATATTAATTATATATATAAACATATTTAGTTTGCAGAAGTAATGTGTATGTGATAAAAATATCTGACTAAGATTCATTTTTATTTTATTACTGTGTAAACGTGTAGATTTATCATTTTATATTTTGTAAATAATGTTAGTTTTGTATAAATAAAATGGTTGACTCGGTAAGAACAAGAATGTTTTAGCTGTCTCTTAGATTTCGATTTCTGTTTGTATGTTAAAAAACACAAAGACTTGACTGGATGGGAATGATTTCGTATTGGTGGATATATTATGTGTTTTAATTATTAAATGGTTTCCAATATACTCAATATTACGAAACAGTAAAAGCCTTTAAATCGTTTTTATTCACTCAAGTCTTTATCTTTTATGCTTCTACAGAGGAATGACTGCAACAACTGTGTATGACATTGTAGGTTTTATCATAGGTTTTCTCTCGCACATCACAGACTCTTGTTGTCTTAGAAATTGTAAGTATTAGGGGTCACGAAATAAAACCTAATGATTCTTCCTGAACGAACAATGGACGTGAGTGATTTATTTATTTATATTTAATTCAATTAGTTCATTCTTATAAGCTGTTCAAGACAGGTCTACAATTTTTTTCGTTAATACCTATTATGTGGTTATGACAGGATTAAATAAAATTGACAGTAAATAAAATGGAAGTGAAGATTAACAGTGAAAACGATAAACAATGTTTAAGAGTGATAGATGTCTTATTTAACCATTGACTTCGTTCTCGTAGCTATTTTCGTTGTTATATTGTGTAATTTGGATTTGGTAAACTCACGTTTTCTTAACTCTTATAGAAATACGCAATGTACTGATACTGTAACTTGAACTCACTTTGTTGGTGGTATTTGAGGGTGGGTAGATAACTCCGCGCTGTCTATTGCCTATAGGGCAATGGCCGTGGCCAACCCGATTTGTCTTATCCGCAATCGACCTGAGATCTCGAAGCGGGCGATGCCTTTCGTGTTGCGATATCTATGCGCTTAGCACCAGGCGACCCGTGAGCTCGTATTTCCAATTCGCAATTTAAAAAAAAATGCTTATGAGACGCAATAAAATTCTGAGTTGAGTTGTACGTAGTAAAATACCTGATTGCATTACTGCCCAGTGACAGAAACGCTGGAGCCTGCCTGTTCTCAATATGCCCTGTAGTGTAAGAGATTAATGTTGATGCAGCTGCTATTCGGTAACTGTACTTGGACGGTTTCCAACAAAAATGCACATACCAGGTTATTGTTTTTTAAAGCATCCATAAGGGAGTTTAATATTTCTCGCCACATACATTTCAACATAAATCATAATGAAATTAAAATGGATTTAATACAGTGCACAAGTGCAAATTCATGAGTCATTGACTAGAATATGAATGTAAAACTGTAGATCAGCTTACTTTTTTTTCTCCTGCCTATTTGCTGGTAGCCTAAGGGGCTGTTTCAGCTACGCCCGGACGGGTAGGTGAGCTCACGGGCTCAACCTGAGAGAATTTGCTAACACTAGCCGTAGCAAGAGCCGTGCTTCACAGAATCTACCACCGGAACGGTGACCCACTGAGAAGATCCGGCGAGAAACTCAGTGGGCCTAAATTTATCATTCAATGCCATTAGACGGTGGTAGGGAACAATGTAAGCCCGCATAGGCCCCACCGTCTTGCCTCTTTCTGCAGTGAAGCAGTCCCGCGTTCAGATTTGATCACCCGTTATACAATACAATTGAGATATCATTCTTATGCTCGAGGTGGCTGGTGGTAATCGCATTTCTTCGTGGAAGTATGGCAGTCATAATAGATGTTCGTATACCCCACTTTATGAGATACTTGTGAAAAGTTTTTCATTGTTTAAATGTGTAAACGCGCTCGCAGTCCTATATGCTGTGAAGTGGTTACTGGAGCCTCTAGGACCTGTGTGCTTAGTGCAAGTTTCTTAACGTTGTCGATAGCGTAAAAGTTAAGCCAATTTTGTATGCAATTGGAACAGCGCCCCTAGCGGCAAACGTACGCAAACAATCCCATTCCATACAAATATGAGCTAACTTTTACGCTATCGAGAACGTTAAAAAAGCTCGCACTAAGCACACTGATTACATGAACCCCACCACCCACCTCAAAACGCATTATTTGTGTTGAATAATGGCCTTTGATCGCTGGATTGTTTCGCCGCAGTAATAAGCAAGATAGTATGCGATATACGACATAACAATTAACATAAAAATTTTATCAAAGTCAATCCTGAATGTTTTAATGCGATGCACGTTTCATAGGAGACAACGGTTCGACATTCATTTGCCTGGGCCTCGTTTTTTTGTTGGTCTTATGCTAGTCAGCCGATTAAAGAAGAGTATTTATTTTCGTTTTTTCCGACGACAAAAAAATTGCACCCGACCGTTCTTATGTAGCTTTGGAAATACATATCAATTCTTTTTAACAATATATGTGTCTGATATCGAAAGCGTTCGATCGTTTGTAACGTGAAAATATTAATATGAAATTTAGAAACGCTGTTCCCCGTATGATGGTCTCACTTTGTAAATCTCAACGCGCATCTCTTAACCAATAGGCACAGTAAACGCGAGTCTTTAAATCGAATTATTAAATGCGTGGAATTAATTTGTCAGAGTATATTGTAAATATGACGTTTTATGTAATAATTTTATTTGAAATTCTGCCAAAAAAAACCACGTGTCTAATATAAAAAGTAGCGCAAGCTGTCAATTAGATTAATATACGATACTTATATTCCTTGAAATAGTTTATCGTTAAAAGAGAATACGAAGTTCTAGGTAAATGTAGACTAATGATGACTATTTTTTATCTGTCTAGGTGGACGACCATCATAAAACTAATTTATACACAGATTAAAATTGAATAGATTTACCTATTGGCAAGTTGTGTAAAATAAATAAGCTTACTATAATGCTATTATTATGATGTCACTAGTTAAGTAAGCAATATAAATATAAGATAATACGAAATTTATGTTATATTATTTAATATTTGACCTTTAATATAAATGTCATGGTTCCTATGTTTGGTTTTACACATTAATATCGATCACACCTTGTATCGATATCAATGATTCCGTCTGTGAAACATTGTTAACAGGCAATGTAATACAAAAAAAAAATACACGTTCTACTAAATTCCAGTGATGTGTTTGCAATTCATTGCCGATTCACGATTTGTGAACATGCCGATATGATATTGAAATCCGTTTAGGTTTTGGACTTTTATTTTATTTTATTGCTTAGGATGGCCCACCTGGTTTTAAGTGGTTACCGGAGCCTATAGACATCTACAACGTAAATGAAGCCACCTAGCTTGAGACATGAGTTCTAAACTCTCAGTATAGTTACAACGGCTGCCCCATCCTTCAAACAGAAACGCATTACTGGTTCACGACAGAAATAAGCAGGGCGGTGGTACCTACTGGTGCGGACTCACCTAAGGTCCTACCACCAGCATCTACCGGCTGGCATCTTTCTTGCCGGATCTCAGCCGGTCGTGATTCCGCGCTAGGTATAGTAGATCCATTCGCGAAGCTGTGGCGCATTAGCTGTCAGGTCTCTTTCGCTCCTGACTGCAATGTTTGCGTGCACCCTCCGCGTGTGTACCCCACTTATTACGTATAGCAGAAAAATAATGAAAGTGCTAATTTTTATTTATTTACATCTCATGTCAGAGCTGATAAAACGCTGACTGGATCATATATAAAGGGCAAATGCAATCGAAGTTACACCACTAGTATTAATTGTCAACTTCCATCAGATCAGTTGAAGCACGCAAGTTGTGATTAGTTTAAGACGTTATTAATAGTTAGTTGGATAAATGACTATCGAAAAGGGAGCCATGGATTTAGAAGAAGGAAAATAAAGGCGAGTGAATGTAACGTATTTTTCTTTGCTTAGGTAAGTAATTACAGAACAATTTTAGCAGAAGATTTTTTTGTGAGCTTAATGCATATCGACCACTTCAGTTTTAAGTTTAGAAGCCAGGGCTCTTCGTAGCTGCATCGCATCCGCAGTGGGTTCCGGTGTGGCTCCAGCGAGGGCCTCTTGTGCTACGCGAGCTGATCGCGGTCTAGAATTCATTTTGTGTGATCCTTCGCCTGCCAAGGTAATATTTCAAATTATCAACAAAGCCAATAAGATTAGAATCGTTGCAGGGCTAACGTAGATCGTGTATCTAAGCCGGCTCAATCCTTTAGCAGGAGTTACTCTGTCGTCTTGGTATGTAGTGTTTTATTGCAACACGTACAGATGGACAAACCTGCATTATGTCCATAATAATTTAATATAGCGATGCCAATGCTTTAGTTTTACTGAACCCTCCTAGCCAAGATACATCAGTACGCTTAGTGCGAGTTTTTTAACGTTTGCCTACGTTTTCCGCTAGGGGCGCTGTTCTAACTGCATACAAATTTGAGTTAACTTTTACGCTATCGAGACCGTTAAAAAACTCGCACTAAGCACATTAAATTCCGTGAAGATTTACGATTACCAGCGATTTTTTTGATTGCACAGCTTAGTTTGTTACCTGCTAGGCCAGTCTCGGTTTCGACGGCACCTAGTCGTTTTTCTCGGACTTGTTTCTTCAGAGCCAATAGTTTATCACGTTGCTGTTTCAAATACTCTTGACGGGCACGCAGTTCTTCATCACTTACCTGAAAAAGTTTTTGAGTTCAAGCTCAAACTATCATTCTTCTGCCCTTCTCCTAGTCATCTGGGGTGGGTGCGACATGTTTTCTCCTTCCATACTCCTCTATCATATACAATTTCTTCTCTCACTCCTCTCTTACACGTATCGTCTTTCACGCAATCCTTTCATATTTTTTTAAGGTTTTTAGGTTCAAGATACTGGGTCGTAACAAAGGCAGTCACATTTTTCGTGGATAATTAATGAAAAATAGCATTCAACAGAAATAATTAACTGAGTTGGGGCTAAAATGAGAATCGAACAACGAAATAAACTTATCACCTCCACTTTCGTGGACGAAGTAATTGTACTTTCCACAGGATGCGCGTCTTCCTCGGGTACTTGTATTGTAACCTTTTTCACAAAACAGTCCCCTTTCTTATCAAAACTGTTCAGCTTAGACAATAAGGTCTGCTTTTGTGTAACAACAACTTCAGGCGTAACGTTTAAGGCTTCCTCTTTGTCATCTTCAATTTCCCCGATTCGTAATCTGTAAGGAATTTATGTTTTAATCGACAGGGTCGACAGGACAGGACATCAAATGTGTTCAGAAAATGGACTAGTTTTCCATATTTAGATTTTCGGAGTATATGAACATCCAAAATGTAAATGCCGCCATCCACCTAGGGAAATAAGTTCTATGTCAATTTTAGAGCACAACGGCTACCCCATCCTTTAAACCGAAACGCACTAGTACCACTTTACGGCAGAAATAGACAAGGTGGTGGTCTACCCGTGCGGGCTCATAAAACGGTATCATCAATTTGTACTAGGGATATATATTTAATCTAGAGGACGCGACAGACGTCCTGTGAATGCATACACAAAAATTAATTCAAGTCGATCCAGCCGTTTAGTTTCTGTATAGATAAATAACATAGATACTGACTGCAGCGCCATCTGCCGGGCTGATGTGTGAATCTAAACCATCCAGGTTGCCACCTAGCGCATACAAAGAAAACCATTCAAATCGGTCCAGCCGTTTAGGAGTCCAGTGACATATACACACGTACAGTAGAATTAAATATATATAAAGATTATTATACTTATGGGCGGTTTGAGGTAATCTTAGTAAATTAAGAATCTCACTTTTTTATTTCAGTCATAACGTCATCATTATCAGGCCATTCTTCATTTTCATTAGTTTCCGAAGTTTCCAACTTTTCGGTATCAGACATAAAAATACTAGGCATAGTTCCATAACGTCTCTCTATCAATTCTAAAGCCTAAAACATATACACATTCCGACCATATACATTATCAGTTACAATAAAGTAAAACTTTTTTTTTCCTACCTAATTGCTGATAGTCTAAGGGGCTCTTCTAACTGCTCATGGACTGGTATGTGAGCTCACGGGCTCAACCTCAGAGAGTTTGGTAACACTGGCCCTAGGAACAGCAGTGCTTCGTTGAATCTACCATCGGATCGGAATCGCGACCGATTAAGAAGATTTGGAAGGTAAGAAACTCAGTAAGCTGTGTCTATGAGCTAGTTCGCATGTCGAACTCTTGGCGTGCTGGAAGAGCACTCTACATTAATACTCAATAGTTTATTTCATAGTTTTTGCATCGGTTTAAATTTTTAATTTAATTTTAATCTTAAATTTAATCTTAGTTGTGTGTGACCACAAAAACCGTAAATTAGTACTAGTAAGATAGAGCGTGTTTCAATCGATAACTGACGACAACGCTTAAAGGATGGTAATGGCGATAATTTTCAATTACCTTCATATTTTTGAAATGCATTTAGAAAGTAACGCACACTGCAGTAATATAGGTTTCATATTCAAAAAACGACCGGTAACAACATTGATGGTAAGATTATGTAAATTCGTGTAACGTAACATTTTTTATAATTGAAGGTTCACTGGTGGCCCGGAGGCCTTTGCAGTTTCACCAGGACAGGTGGGAGAGCAATGGCTCAGCCGCGAGAGGTGGGATTAGCTAACAGCTGCCCGAGCGCTTCCGAAGGAGACATAATAACTCGAGAGCATCTGCTTCGCGAATTAATCTACTATCGGATCGGTATGTCGATCCGCTGAGAAGATCCCGCGAGACATTCAGCGCGCTGGCATGGTTTGGTTGCACGTCAAATTCTTTGCCGAATTCGACAAGTACGGGGTTACCGGGGTCCATAAGCCTGCTCTTAGCGTTATAGCTGAAGGCGTCTAATGCTATATACCGTAACAGTTTCACCTGCAGTTGCAACTCAACATTCTTATGTGTCATCATTTTGACGAACATCGCGTAATCATTGGCGGCCCATATCTGTTCGAATAATCGCCGATGGAATTGAGCGGGCAGTCCCGCCAAATCTCTTGCTGACAGTTTGCAGGCCGCTTCAAACTGTTCCGCCGTAATCCCAATGTCATCCATAAACGAGCCCAGCATTACGTCTACCTATAATTTATTTACTTAAAATTACCATTTTTAAAACGGAAAACGTGGCAACTAAAATTTCTTTTTTTTTATTGTAGAATCTTTCTTATAAATGTATTCAACAAAATTTGGAAGCAAGGAGTTAGAAAGGACTGGCGTTTCAAGTTCATTAACCTAACATTTTTAATAACAAGCTTTTAAGAATTCGCTCACCAAATTACGATAGTCAATGTGGATCTTTTTGTATTCAGCTCTATCGATTACTTCTCCATTTTCTGTCGGCTCAAACGCTGTTAATGAAAAACGCCTGGGCTATGAATTTTAGCAATCACATTGTAGCGTTCTTTTATGTTAATTTTGAGGACGATGGAAATTATTGGAATCATGACTTTAATTAATAATTTAAATAACAAAATGAACCTCTCTGCGGTATGGTATTAGCGGTATTGTTAATGGGTCTCTAAGAAATGCATACAGTTGACGATGATATGATGATTATAGAAAAAACCTATGAATCTAATGTTGTAAAGTGAAGGTAGGTACTATCGTTTCGATGATTTTACTTTGGGTAAAATTTTCACTGAATATTTAATTAATTTAGTTCACAAAAGCTGATACGCATATTAACGAATGATCGTCTGTTGCGAATACAAATATTTTACATTTGAATATTGCCGGCCCCCTTATTTGACCTCTTGTATAGTACAAGGTACGAGTAATAGAATGCAATCTAAAGAATAGAATAGAAAAGAAAGAATAGAATACAATGCAATGTGAACTTACGCAATGATCTTTCTTCAATAAATGTTTGTAAAGGTACGTTCCATATGGGTCCGTGAAGAAAACCCACCAAGGAATCGAACACCCATGCATTTCCATCGTATTCAAGATTATCCATATTAATGTCTGTCATGTCATGAAATTGAGTTTGTGCGAGATCACTTAATTTAATATCAGTGGCGAAAAAACGTATTTCTTCTCCTATATACGTAGTGCTGAGTGGCGACTGCTAGGCTTTTTTAACCCAAACTGTTAAACCGTGTTTACGTTTTTGTTGTCAGAGTAACTGTTTGTTTGAAAAATTAGTTGTCAAGGAAAAAGGGTACTATATAACTACAAACTCCCTGGTGTATACTTAAATGTTAATTCAGTTATTTAATCTTGTTTAAAAAATGTACCTACATATGGTAAATAATTTGAGGGAAAATGATGATATACCTTAGACGAGAACAATAACAGCATTATATCAACAACAGCTGTTATTGTTTTGAATCAATATCCAAGGTCATCTAAACATGTCAATGAATAAGAGACGACTTTTTGGCGAGAACGCGAGGAGCGAAATCGTGTGAATTGTGTCTATTGAAGTCTTCGTAAATTCCCATCATTTTACTACACCTAATTGTTATTTCATTCCATCATCCCATCACGTTTTATTTAGTTTCCTCTCAATAGGTTACAAACTCAAACTAACCAATTTTACTTCATTCCGCACTATAGTACTATTTTTCAAAAAATGGTGTGTAGGTCTAAGTAAAGTGAAGGAAAAACGTAAAGTTAAAATGTAAGTACAAAGTGGTGTAATGAATTTAAAGAATAATTGAAGGGGTTTTTNAAGGGAAAATTCCCTAAAAGTGGAAGCACTGCTTCAAAGTACGCTAACATTTTTTATTGAGTCAGAACTCGTATCTGCCATCTAGTGAGTTTATTAGTTCATTAAGGCCAAAACGTTTCAAAAATGACCTCGCCGGTTCCTAAAGATGACGCTAGTTGAATGTTCTTTTCCTTTGTATGGGAGTTGCACCCCCCTGTTTGAAACTATCAATTTAACAGTCGAAAATTGTTGAATTCAAAAAGTAAAGTACCCACAGATATCAATCTTACGAAAAATAAAATAACCAAAGAATCTAGAAAATACGCAATCCTTTAATATGAACCTAAGAGTAAAACAATAGGAATGTGAATCGAAATCCGTACTATTTTCGTGGACGAAAACTGATTTGATTTGCTTTAATTCGTATATAATATGTTAAAGTGTATAAAGTTTCATCTGTAATTTGGGCTAGAATTAATATGAAAATGATGACTAGATGTATCCCGGAAAAAAACAAAGGCTTTTTCAAATGCTTAGATAAATGTCTCCTTTTATCCCATGAGAATAGCGAAGGCTTGAAAATCAATTTAATGATTGAAAAAGGCGGTATTCCTAACTATATGCAATTCGACATATCTTTTAATTTAGAAAAATCCTATAGTTATAAATCTAGCAAATTATTTCTCTTATGGTCTGTCATACTATTGAATTGTTTAATTGTCACTTATGTAGGAATAACATTGGAATTAGTGATAACTTTTTTTACTATATGTATGTGTTTAGCGATTATTTGGTTCCGTATGCTAAAATCAGGTATGTTCACTGAGTTTAGTACACTAAAAATTTAAATATGTGGCATTTAAGAAATGCTGAATTTGTTTTTTTATTATGCCCCAAAAGGTTAGATATTGCTATTTTGAAATGAAGGTGTAATAGTTTATTAGCTAGAAATATGTCTTATGCCATTAAACTTAGTGAATTAATAAGATTTTTAAATGTATGTTTCAGAAACTGTCTTGATCATTCCAAATGTTGGTATACGCAGCACTCAGAATTATCCGACCAGAAACTTACACACCTTTGTATCATGGGACAGAATTGAAGATATTATTATAAATGAAGTTATTGTGACGGTTAGCTTCTAATTTAATTTTTATCAAATAATATGATGGCTTGAATGATGGAAGGCTGTTGGAAGGGTGATTTATAACAAGCATTGTATAGAGATTACATGAATGAATGAAACATCATTTCAGTTTGTCAGGCTTTTGTAATTGGGTATGTTTGTATATGGATTATGAGTCATTTTGGATTTTCAGTTGCTTTCTAAACATGGATTTTACTAGCAATGTTAATATGATCTTAACTCAACCTTCAACTTTTCAATTCAACATCATTATATCTTACATGAGGCAGTCATGTATTCTGGTTTGAACAGTAGTGGTATAGTACAGATGTTAATTCATTTAGACTTTTGCCTCATGTCTTAACGCATTATTGACAGATCATGCTTAAGATCTCCAATCAGTAAAAACTGGTTAAGCTGCTTTTGTACTTTTTATAGTTCACAAGGATATGGAGAAGTCTGTATACAGGTACTAACAAAATAGCTAAAGAGAATAGTCGATGGCTGATTTATAAGCTATCTGTAGAAAAGCAATAGATAAAGTAGACAGTAGAAAAGCTAATTAATAGGTTGGTGGTCAATAAGTTAACTGGAGACAGAATTAAGGATAAAACAAAGTCAATCAACACTTCTAGTCACACATAGGCAAATTTAAATGTGTTTTTTTAAATACTTATGCAATGTAAGCCAATAGAATGAATTTTTCAAATAGTTTTGTATTATCATTTTGTTTCAGTCTAAAGTTCTTTATTACTTGACTATTTTGGTTAAAGAAGATCCCGAGAACACTGAAAACATTGAACAAAATCAATTAACCCGACTGGTGCCTCTTTTTTTGGTATTTATTTTATTCAATCACACATTATAAAATAAGATATTTGTTGTTTTTAAGCTTTCTTGGCAGCACCCAACCTATTTCTGCTCTGAAGCAGTAATTTGTTTTAGTTTGAAGGGTGGAGCAGCCATTGTATTGTAAAAACAGACCTTAGAACTCATATTTTGAAGTGGGTGGCGGCATTTACTTTCTAGATGACTATCTCCAGTAACCACTTAACACCAGATGGGCCGTGAGATTGTCCACTTGTTAGGCAATGAAAAAAAAATTGGGTTTTAATCTCATGTTTTTTTATTGCCCTTTTTGGCAGACTACCTGATGGTGAATTGTTACCATCGCCCATGGACTTCAACAATATCAAGGGGAAAACCAAGCCGCTGCCAACTGTTAAGTTCTCTCTACAAACCTTGTTTGAAGAAGGACAAGTCATAGCGCTTGGAAAACACTGTGAAAACCGGATGGTATGTGGCAAAAAATATCTTTGGAAACATACTATAAATGCTTCAGGTAGTATGGACGAACTCTACTCCGGTCGAGGGCGGTGCGATGGTACAAACGAGATGATGGAATCATAAACAATTCAAGTTGCAGTTAAATTCTTTAAGTGGTACTGAATGTTCATTGAGATCAACCTAACATTTAATACCTTATATTATAAACTATCTCCTATACTGCTAATGCTATGTGGAATAACAATGAACCGCAGCATTATTAAAATAATAAAAACAGATTCGGCCTGTTTCACCTTTAACAACACTGCAAAAATGTGAGTCAATTATTTATTGGTTACATGGCCTCTATTTCAATGCACAGGTGATTTTAATCTCTGGTCGCAGACCAGGCATCTACATGAAGAAAGTAATCATTGTTATTTTGTATTTGTTTCTAGAGAACAAGGCCCAGTTTGGCGGTGTTGGAAAAGATTTATGCAGATGTACAAGACTTACTGACGGAGGCTAAGCAACAAGTGTAACCTGATTCTTAAGTTATTATACTAATAGTAATAGTAATGGGTATTGAATTTCTGTGAAGTTACTTCATAATTTCTCAGAGTTTTGACCTTTGATTCCTTGAGTTATGCATCACGGAATGTGGTCACAGGGGTTTATTGTTTAATCAGTTTATCAAGTGGCTAGTTATCACAATTAGTGTGGCATGGGTCTGGGTTTGAATCGCAGTCGGAGCTCATAACTTTATTAATGTTATTTGCGAATTGGGACCTGGGTATATTCTTGTATCGGAAGTGTATGAAGACAGTGGAACCTCTAGTTTGGGGCTGTTTAACATGTATTGAATAAGTATACTTTTTGTATCTTAATTTCTATTGTAGGTAAAATTAATTTAGTATTTTAACGATATTAACTATTTTAAAAATATTCAAGCCAGTGAAAATTGAAAAATAGATGATAAATTTTATGAAATATTAAACTTTTAAATATAAATGTTATTTGTTACAATTTGCAATGTAGGTATGTAGTATGTTATAGTTGATTATATATGTGTAACTTAATCAGTATTCAAATAAAATTGTCCTTCAGTAAACAACGCGATTTTTATAATTTTTTTTTTATGATAAAAAAAATGGTGCTCTGATTAAATGAAAAAACCTACTATTTGTTCATAGACTAGCAAGTCTACCAACTTTATTTTAATAACTAGCGACCCGCCCTCGCTTCGCTTCGGAAACATTAAAACACACATGAAACCAAAAAAAAAAAATAAAAAAAAAATTAAAAAAAGTATCCTATGTTCATCAGGGACAATGTCGGCTTCTAATGGAAAAATAATTTTTCAAATCGGTCCAGTAGTTTCGGAGCCTATTCGAAACAAACAAACAAACAAATCTTTCCTCTTTATAATATTATAATATAGACAAATAAAGATACACCTTTTTTTATCTACCTATGTTGATAGCCTTGAAAGGCTATTTCAGCTTCTTGACGTGTAGGTGAGCTCACGGGGCTCTAACTGGGAGTGTTGCTAACACTGGCCCAACAAAAGCAGTGCTTCGCAGAATCTACCACTGGATCGCAAACGCTTTCCACTGAGAAGATCCGGCGAGAAACCCATAGACTCGTGTTAATTCACTCGTTGAGCCTTGCGACGGGTTCGACGAGGACGGTGACTGATGCTTGGAGTACCTGAAAGCACCGTTAATGGATCGGGAGGATCCGTAATGACGTGTTTAGGGCAGGATACACCTATCGCATAGTAAAGACTATCACAAAAGAAACATTAAAATCGTTTTACTCCCTTTGTTTTGATTGCATGTATTTAATATGGATCGAATAATAATAGTCTCCGGCTCTCGTCCAAAAGATACCGGTCTATGAGTTCAGAAAATGTCAGTACTTTACATCTATATTAATACAAATCTACAGTGGTTTTTACGGATGTTCCGTTATAACTACTGAACCATGCATCCGATTGACTTGAAACTTGGTATCCATGTAGAAAATACATGTACTTAATGGATAGGCTAATATTTATATGAGTGTTGGACTCCCCAATAATAATGACAATAAATAATAATGTTAATTTTAAATGCCCAGCGAAGCGGGCGAGTACGGTTAGTCTATTAGGTACTATTTTTACTACTACTACTACTAGATCATCCAGATTCATCCAGATATAACGTCATCCAAAGAGAGATTACATCATCCAGATCTCGGAGCTTGAGTTACGTCTGTAATTTGAGGTAGGCACTATCATAAACTCAGAAAGTCTATATCGGAATCCTTTTTACCTAAAGTTTGATAGTTTTTAGGATCACATTTATTTATCAAACAACTCGGTATAGATGTTTTATAGCATATTTTAGGTAAGTATTATCGTCAAACATTTTGAGAGGTTTTTATTGATAACTCGCTATCAAGAAAGCGTACAATCAGGCGATCGATTTTGACAGCATAGATTGAAGATTTTGAAATGAGTCATCGTGAGTCAGATAGATACTTTTACAAAGAAATTTAATATTTTTTATATCATGTTATTTTAAAACAAAACATCTCCTAATATTAATAATAATTTAACCAACGTAATATGTCGTTTAAATTAATATTAATGTGGTTGGGGAGAATTGAACCGCATTGGTTTAAAAAAAAAAGGTGAAAAGAAAAATTAAGAATAAATATCAAGTGCATACATACGGCAGAGATGCGAATGTTGAGATGGATATGTGGAGTGATAAGAATGGACAAGATAAATAATGAGTATATCAGAGGAAGTGTGAAAGTAGACCCGGTAATCTACAAATTATAGAGCGGACGGTTAGCGTGGTATGGATATGTGATGCGAGAGAAAAGAGAGAGAGAGAGAGAGAGAGAGAAGAGAAGAGAGAGAGAGAGAGAGAGAGAAGATGCATGTGACTAGGAGATGTATGGAAATGGTAGTGCAAGGCAGAGGGGGAAGAGGTCGACCGAAGAAGACATGGTTAGAGTGTTTGAGTGACGATATTAGATAGAGAGAGAGAGAGAGGAGTGAGTGTTGAGATGACGGCTGATAGAAGAGAATGGAAGAGAAAAATTAGCTGTGTTGACCCCACCTAGTGGGATAAGGTGGAGAAAAAAAGAAGAGAGATATCAAGTCGTTGTGACTTGACGCCCGGTGCATTCGTATCAAGCGATGTGACTGTGCCGATGCCCGAATCCCGCGGGCAGGTTTTTTTGATGAAATACGTACTCAGGGTACATAACAATTGTTCTCGAATTAATTCCACGATGAAAGAATAACTTCCCAAAATATTATTGTACTATAAGCGTATTGTAGCACGTGAGGTAGTTACCTCCACCAAGCCTATTTGTTATCCGTTGCAGTTTGAAGGGTCGGAGAAATGTTTATTCAATATAATTGAAACTAACAACATGTCTGTAGGTACGTTGTGTCATATATGGCCTCCTATAATCACTATACAAGGAGGACCATGAGCGTTTTCACCTAGGGAAAAACTATTTTGTCAATATGGATTTTAGTAAATATATGTTTTTCAACACATTTTTATGTATGTAGTGATGTCTTCCGCGGTGTACCAGTTTAATGTGTGTGTGTGTGTGTGTAAATGCAGAGATATAAGGCACTACAACGTACTCACAATAAGATGGCTCAAATTCACCCAAAGAACAATGCTGGGAGTTACCCTGCGAAATCGAATCGGAAATGCGGAGATTCACAAGAGAACCATGGTAACCGGCATTGCCCGTAAGATTACGAGGTTGAAGTGACTATGGACACGAACATTGTGCTCGCATTGCTCGTAGAATAAATGGTCACAGTGCGGGTAGGACTCCCACAAGACGGACTGACTATTTGTTTAAGGTTGCGGGACGTCTCTGTTTGCGAGCACCGCAAGACCGGTTTTTTTGGCAAACTTTGAGGAAGGCCTTATATTCAGCAGTAGATTTTTATAATGACGATAACGACGAGAGTGGCCAAAATTACGGGTTAAACCATTTTTAAGGCGTGGAATACGTGCTCGAAAGTAATTTATTATTATTTAATTCATTTATGTCAGATATGATTATTACTCCATGTTAATGTATAGTAACAATGATTTCTTAAAAATATGTTAGTAAGGGCATAGTAACAAAACAAAAGTAAAGAACCATATAATAAAATTAGAATAGTTTACCATTTCGAGGAATTTTATGGACCTATCTACAATTATTGAGTAAAGGTCCTTTTATCTCGAGAACGTCATGGCTAGGATGCTGTTGGGGCTAGACCCTACCCTGCAGAGAAAGGACGCGCATCGCTTTCTTATGAAGGCATAGAACTCGTCATGCCCGATGCGCTACATAATCAAGGCAGCCCCATCAATCCTAAGTGTATCGTTATACTCTACTCGTATAGGCATTTAGAAGGAGGACCTTTATCTAAAACCACACTTAGTATTGTACGTGTTACATTGTTATATTGAATAGGATTTAAATTTGGACGACATATGTTACACGTACAGCTTATCAGTTTGTAATCAAAAAGAAAATTTGTAATCTTGTTAGTAATGACTAATGCTCGTTATCTTTCGTTGCACACTTGAGATAAAGCGTTGCGTAAGATGAACTATGGTGCTTTTCTGTAAAACAGACACAAAGACAGACGAGTTTCAGCGATGCGTGGAGACAACTGATTAGATAGATACGTTTCATATATTTGTTTAAGTGAGCTGACTAGGGCACTTTGTCACTAGAGAAATCACTAGAGAAGTCCATAGACAATCTTTGAGATTTTTGTTTATTGCTTAGATGGGTGGTCGAGCTCACAGCCCACCTGCCTGGTAAGTGGTTACTGAAGCCCATAGACATTCACAGCGTAAATGCGCCATCCACCTTGAGATATAAGTTCTAAAGTCTCAGTATAGTTACAACGGCTGCTCCACCCTTCAAACCGAAACGAATTACTGCTTCACGGCAGAAATAGGCAGGGTGGTGGTTCTTACACGTGCGGACTCAGGAGTCCTACCAGTCTTTAGCGTGATGAAAAAAAAACATTGTTTCTTTAGAGACGAGTTAAGCATATTGTGACAGATTCGACTCTACGATGTTACAATTTGTATATAGGCTCGTCCTTCTTCAGTGAGGCTGGGTAAGGATTTTGAATGTTAATATTTTAATGTTTTCTTTCTGTAAATCTGTATTTTACTTTCATAGACTATTTTTTGATTTCTCTCTTTTTCATTCAGTTGATTAGCAAAGAATGTCGAGTGAATCATATAGTCAAGTCTTGTTCTGCATAGGCTGGTTACACATTGTGTTTTTTTAATAAAATATAGTTATGGCAAAGTGTTCATTTACGCTGATTTCTATTAAAACCCAAATAAATTAGCAGTTTTCGATCAAAATATTCCAAAACTCAAAGAACACTTTCAAGAACTATCGAAAACTAAAACAAGGCTAGAGAATTAGGTAAGCTACAAATATTGAATGTTACGTAAATTGAAATAACAAATAATCCGAATACCAATTTACTTTAACAGACATTGAAGTCGACCGAGAACTTTGACTATGGACACAGCAGTTAAGATCACTAAATCAACGAGTCTGTCAACAAAAATTATTTTCTTCAATATTATTAAATTTATATGACCGTTTGAAAATGCCTGTAAAGGCCTATTTGAATGTATATTAACTTTAAAAATAAATCTGGATTATTAAATTACAGTTTTAAAAATTATAGGTAGTACAGGCAAATTCTCTTATTTGAATTCAGCATAAAAACTTGCGCTTCTTTTTTTTTTTTCGGTCTACGCAGTCTTGGTTGGAAACGAACGTTTCGGACTTCATCAGAGCTGAAGACTGGCCGTCGTCTAGTCCCGATCTTAATCCGCTGGATTATGATTTATGGTCAGTTTTAGATAGTACGGCTTGCTCTAAACGCCATGATAATTTGGAGTCCCTAAAACAATCCGTAAGATTGGCAGTGAAAATTTTTCCCATGGAAAGAGTGCGTGCTTCTATTGATAACTGGTCTCAACGTTTAAAGGACTGTATTGCAGCCAATGGAGGCCACTTCGAATAAGATTTTTATACTTTAAATTGTTTTATATTTA